GTCTTCTTAATGCTTTCCAGAAAATGAGCTAGGAAGCAATAGTTTGTTTGCTTTTTTTAATCTGTTGAGGCCAGAGGTCTATTTGTGGGGTTGGCTGCATGACTCAGTTGGTAGAGTGCCAATCAATGATCGAAAGCACTAGTACTAAGTCTAAGTCTCAGACACAAAAAACAACACATTCCTAGCCAAGCGCTGGTGGCTCACACCTGTAATCCTAGCTATTCAGGAGGCTGAGATGTGAGGATTGATGTTCAAAGCCAGCTGGGGGCAGGAAAGACCTTGAGACTCTTCTATCAAATAAATCCCCAGAAAACCAGAAGTGGCACTATGGCTCAAGTGGTAGAATGCTAGCCTTAAGCTAAAGAGCTGAAGGATAACACCTAGGCCTGGAGTTCAAGCCCCATGACTGACCAAAAAAAAACAAAACTTATTTCTATACCAATGGATGATATTGGTCCTTCCTTCTAATACTCCACCCCCTCCACCAGCCCTGAACAACCCCACTTCCAGCAGGATGGAACCAAAATCACCGGAGCATTACAAACTGTATAACAGAGATAAAACATCTCTTCCCTCATAATGCCTTATATGGGCTTAGATTTCCTTTGGGAAAATTATTCTAGAGGTTAAAAGTTATTATGTGTGGTATGTCCCATAGGTCTAGAGAAATTCTCATACAGGCTGATCAGGGAACACATCCCAATTTTCCCACAGTGTCCGTATATTTGTGTACATACATGTGTGTGTGTCAGAGTGAGAAGCTGTATGTCCACTGAGGAACAGATAGACGAAATGTGCCCAGATGCTCACTGTGGAATACCAGGCATCAACGAGAAGTCACACACAAGTACACACTCACAGCGATGCTGTGTCCTGATCTGGGCAGGACAGTCATAGTTTAGCTCCTTTGTCTTGGTGTAATTGTGATTTATTCCATGATCATACTGGAGTTTGAACTTAGCACCTTGCTCTTGCTAGGCAAGTGCTCTACCACTTGAGCTATGCACCCAGGACTCTCTCCTTTAGTTATTTTGCAGATAGAATTTCCTGTTTTTAGGCCGAGGCTAACATAGGCTTCAATCTTTCCCACATAAGAGATTCTTTTTTTTTTTTTTTGGGTCTGGTCATGGGGCCTGAACTCTGGGCCTGGGCGCTGTCCCTCAGCTCTTCAGCTCAAAGCTAGCGCTCTACCACTTGAGCCACAGCACCACTTCTGGCTTTTTTCTTTTTGCTGAGGAATCGAACCCAGGGCCTTGAGCATGCAAGGCAAGCGCTCTGCCACTGAGCCACCTTCTCAGCCCCTCCCACATAAGAGATTCTATACTGATGTAATCATACTATTTAACAAACAATCCATATCTACATTTCTCTAATTGCTTGAAGTTTTCCCTCCAGAACTTTTTTTCTTTTCTTTTTTTTTTTTTTTTGCCATTTTGAGACTTGAACTCAAGGCTTCGAGCTTTCCTTTGGATTACTTGTTTATGACTGATGCTCTACCACTTGAGCTAGGTCTCCAATTTGGCATTTTTGCTAGTTAATTAGAGAGAAAGTCTCAGGGAATTTCTGCTTTGGATGTCTTTGAGCCTCAATCCTCACATCTCTACTGGGATCCTAAGTAGCTAGGATTACAGATGTAAGTGACTAGGACTTGGCTTTTCTGTTGTTTTGGGTTTTTTGTTTTTTGTTTTGATTGTGGTCATGCCTGTAATCCTCGCTGCTTAGGAGGCTGAGATCTAAGGATACCAGTTCAAAGTCAGCCCAGGCAGGAAAGTCTATGAGATTCTTATCAGCAGTTAATCACCAAAGAGGTAAAAGTGGAGCACTAGCTTTGAGCAAAACAGCCCATGACAGCATAAGCTGTGACTTCAAGCCCCAGGAGTTGGGAAAAAAGAAAAAAAAAGGTTTTCATCCAGGATGCAACTGATGCAAATGTATTACATCTGATATCTGATCATTTCTTTTAATCTGCTCTCATCTACAACAATCTCTATGAGGTTTTGTTTTGTCTTCCCTTTTGGTCCTGCCTTTCAGGGCACTGACATATTTGAAAAGTCCCAGCTAATTTCTTGTAAAATGTGTCACAATCTGGATTTTTTTTCTGATTTTTCCTGGTCTTTCTTCACGAATAGATGCAGGTAAAACATGTTTGGCCTGCTTGGCACTACATAGATGATATGTCTACAAGGTATCTTTTTGTCCCATTATTGGTGATGTTAATTTTAATTATTTCATTAATAGAGCATCAACCAGATTACCCCATTTCAGAGAAACTTCTCTTTGTAATTAGTAAATTATCCGTGGATTAAAACTGAAGACTATGTGGATATCTCACTACACAATTACCTTTTTCTCAATGGTTTTATTATTTATTTATGTCAGCTGTAGGGCTTGAACTCAGGGCTTAAGGGCTGTCCCTGAGCCTCTCTATGCTCAAAGCTAACCCTCTACCACTTGAGCTACAGTGACACCTCCAGGTTTTGAGTGGTTAATTGTAAATTACAGTCTTCCTGCCCAGGCTAGCTCAAACCACCATTGGATCCATGGGGCTGGGAAGATGACTCAGCAGTAGAGTGCTTGCCTCACATGCATAAGGTTGGGGCACGTAACTGTGGCTCAAGTGGTAGAGCACTAGCCTTAAGCTGAAGAGCTCAGGGACAGCTCCCAGGCCTAGAGTTCAAACCCCATGACTGACCAAAACAAACAAAAAAAAACCCACACCATTGATCCTCAAATTTCAGCCTCCTGAGTAGCTAGGATTACAGCTGTGAGCCATCAGTGTCCATCTATCTCAATTAGGTTTTAGCATCCACTAATGATCCTTGCTTGTTATTGTAACTACCTCAGGCTCCATTCTTGACCTCAGATCTCCCATAAAGTAACCCTATACAGGAAACTTCCTCTTGGAGCACCCTCTCTTTGACTGCCTTACTCCTGTCTCCAAGGAATATCAAGCCAGAAATCCAACCCTAGATCCAGAAGAAGCTTTGGCAGAAACTTTCTGAACTTGGGTCAGACCCTGGATTCCCTGGCTCACGTTCACAATCTCCTGGAGTGTAAGGAGAGATGCCAGACCAGCCCTAGGCCAAACTAAATCCAGGGCTTAGCACAGCAGTAAAGAGAAGTGTTTCCAATTTCAGATGAGGAAACTGAGTCATGAAGCCTGTCTCTTGGGCAGATTCTATGGCCAGAATTATGGATGAAATGCTAAGATCCACTGAATTCATCTACCCATTCAGGCCATGTCTACCTTATTGAAGAGAAGAGCTTCAATTATACTACTTGGCTTGGAACTCCGTCATTCTCTCTGGTCCAAAGTCTTTAGCCTTCTGATAGCTGGGATGATGGGAAGAGAAGAGGTTCTGGAGGCCCTAGACCTGAGTTTGAGTCCCTGCTCTTCCACTGCTGACTTCATGACCTGGGTGGGCAACCTGGCTTTGCTAAGGGTCATTTGTAAAATGTGATCAGTCGTCCTTACAGATGTTTTGGGGATCAAAGCAAATATGCATAAAATTACTGGCCCAGTGCCTGGCATGAACTACCTTCCAAGCCTGTTCTTAGCCTTGTGATTTTTTTTTTACCATATGTACTTTTTATCAACTTATTGCCTCTCAGTTCTAAATCCACTTTTTTTGCCTACTCTCTAATAAGAGTTGGGCTTTGCAAAATATTTCTCCTTTGCCAGATGACATGTGTTGAGCCTTTTCAATGTGTACTAGAGCTACACTGGGGGATGGTGGCTCTTTCTTTCCAAGTTCCAAGTTGGCTCACTGTCAAGTTGCTGGAAGGCATGTGTTCTCCACTATTTGGCCCACAATCTCTCCAGTGCTAGAAACATGCAAGGCGCACCGTTCTCCAGTTTGCCCACTACATCTACTGTAGTATATCCATGAGCCTAGGAATTTCCTGTGTTAAGGGATCATTGTGAAAATCAAATGAGATACTCCTTCATCCAATAAATATTCATGGATGGAGCTGAATTCATCAGTGTCTATAACCCAACACTTGGGAGACTGTAGGATCATGAGTCCAAGCCTGGCTATTTTATAATACCCTTCCCCCCTCCCAAAAAAAAGAGATATTATTGGGGCTGGAAGGTGGCTCAGTGGTAGAGTGCTTGCCTTACATGCATGAAGACCTGGATTTGATTCCTCAGCACCACACAAACAGAAAAAAATCCAGAAGTGGCACTGTGACTCAAGTGGTAGAGCACTAGCCTTGAGCTGAAGAGCTGAGGGACAGCGCCCAGGCCCAGAGTTCAGGCCCCATGACGAACCCAAAAAAAAAGAGAGAGAGAGAAATTATTGGGGGAGTTGGAGTCAGCACTTTATCACTATACAAGGTTACAGACTGGTAAGAGGTTCATTATTGCTGGACACAAAGCAGGCACTGAATCATTTGCAGACCCCACACACTCAGTACTCTATCCTTGCTCTGCTTAATTTATCTGCATTAATATGCAAGGTAACATATAATTACACACTAACATCTTTATGTTTAAAAAAAATGTTATGGTTTAGAGCTTATATTTTATTTTGTTCATCTGTCTTTTCAATATCCCCTCCCCTGCACCAACATGCAGTGTTCACGATTGTGGAGGCAAGCTTTTGTCTGCATTATTTACGTCAGTGTCCCCAGATGCTATGTGAATGCCCCACATATTGGAGACACCCAATAAATAAGAAGCAAACAAACAACGGACTATGTGAAGAATGCACGGATGAATAATGAACAGATTCTTAAGGATTAGGAGAGTAGGAATGAAAAAGTAAATAAAAATAAAGCCAACTAGGACTAGAGAATTGGTCCCTGGGGGCCTCTCAGATGGACGCCGGCCATTAATGGTCCAGAGCTCCCATTTCCCGACTGCCAGCCAGTTGCTTAGCAACCGGCCACCTACCAACCACCGCCGCTAGAGGGCGAGCGGGCGGGGAGATGTGAGAGCGAGCGCGTGCGCGTGCGTGCGGGCGCGTACGGGTGTGCGCGCTGCGCGCGCCGGCTAGAGAAGCACGTCACTTCCTGTTTCTTTAGGGGAACGTGGCTTTCCCCGCAGCGCCCTTCCCTCCATCTGCGTCTCTGCCGCGGCGGCCGGAGCTGGAGACGGAGCCCGAGCGCAGCCTCGCGATGGACTCGGCCGCCAGCGAGCCACACAACGGCAGCACGGAGACCCCTAGCCCGGCCAACGGCACGGCGCGACCGCCGTCCACGCCCGAGGGCATAGCGCTGGCCTACGGCAGCCTCCTGCTCATGGCGCTGCTGCCCATCTTCTTCGGCGCCCTGCGCTCGGTGCGCTGCGCCCGCGGCAAGGTAGGGGCGGCGCCGGCCACGCCGAGCGTTTTCTACCCACTCCATCCCACCCTGCCCCACCCCACCCCACCCCACCCCCCACTTCGGATCCGACTGCCACGGACCCTTGCGAAGCTAGCCCTGCTGGGTCCTGACATCTCCCTCAGATAGGAGATGGTTTTTGTCTGCGCGCGTGCGCGTGGACCCTCACACATCCCTCTTGTCTGCCTCACGTCGCACTGGGGGACACTGTCGACCCACCCTCACACTGCGACAGAGTGAGCCCACCGGGCCCGGGCAGACCGGCCCCACCTTCTGTGGCCGGGCCAGCAAGCAAGGCATTCTCCCCTTACTGTTCCCAGCTTCAGGTCAGCCCAGTCTGGACCCGATGGACGACCTGAGAATTAAATGGCTCCCATCTTTTCTGCTCTGTCTATATGAAGCCCCGCCAGGCCCCACCCAGGGCTAATTCTGCCATCCACAGCCATCCCGAGGCATCCGTAGAATCGTGACACCTTGCTCACTCACCTACAACTCCCAGACCAGGCATTTGCCCTGCCTCAAAAACAAAACCCAGAAATCTATCCCCAGCCCAGAGCAGCCTTCCATCTTTTGTTTCAATGTCTGGAAGCCATTCCAGGCAGCTGGCTCCTCAGAAAGTGACACCTGAGTCTTCTAGTTTTTAACCATAGACCCCTTCCACTGTTGATTTCCTCTTCCTAACTTGGACCTTTTCTAGCCAAATCACAGGTCCTATTCCTAACTGCTAACCCTGTTCCCAGCCTACCTCTAGCTTTACTTCATCCCACTTAAGACAATCTCTCCCAAGTTGCGTCTATCTGCATAGAGATTGAGCCACTGCTGGCCTCTTGTGACACTGGGCCAGGCTCCTTCCTTGGCCTTCCATTGGATATTAAGAGGATTCCAGCATCTTCCACCTTTTGCCACCCTCTTCCTATCCTCCCTGTCCCTACTTCTTCCCTGTATTAAGCCCTCCATAGTCTATTTGGCCAATTGCTTTTTGCTTCCTGGCACTTTCTCCTCCACAGCCTTTTAATGTGCTGCCTGCTCCTCCCCCACCAGACCTGAAGAGGAACCAAGCAGAAGCTGCCCTTAGCCAGAGAGGGCAGGCACACAGAGCAACTACCACTTTTGAAACTCTCCAAACACTTACCCAACTTGTGCAGTGGCTAAGGGTTGCCACCTTTCATCCCAAGAGCAGAGAAGACACAAGAGTGACAGGGCTTCAACTGAGAGGCTCCCGCATGACCCATTTTTCTTTCTCTTCTGCCTCTTTTAAGTGGAATTCAGGTGGTCTCAGCCTGTCTACAAGGCCTATCAGGCATTTAGTGAAGAAAAAATTCTGAAATAGACCAGAACAAAGAGGGAGAGAGGGTGCAGTAAGGCACAAGTCTAGGCAGTCCAGTCTAAGCTGCTCCCAGACTGAATAAATGGGTCACTCATCTTTGCAAAAAAACACCTACCAGGCACCAGCACAGTGTTTCCTGTGCTTCCACTAATGCCTTGTGTTGGGGAGGTGTAAAGATGAGAAGTCAGAGCCTGGACACCCCAAGAGTAAAGATGAGAGAGGGTGACTAGGTCTGTGATTGAAATGCAAGCAGCACTGCAGGGCTGAGCAGCAGAGTAAAGAGGCTTTGTGCTGGAGGCAGGTGTGAGCCATGATGGAGATGTAGAATTCCAGCCAGGAGGGGGCATTCTAAACAGAAAATAAGGAAAGCCAGAGAGATGAAAGCAATTCAGGGAACAGCTGGAGCTGGTGTGAATGGAGCAGAGATGGAATAAACAGAAGACAACCTTAACCTCTAACCATCTACCCCAGGCATCTCCTACAGGGCAGTGAGGTTGGAAGACTGAAACTACAAAGGACCTGACCATTCTGGTGGCTTTCTGCCCCCAAGTAACCAGGATATTCTCAAGTTTATGAAACCATTACACACCCTTGGATGGTTACAGCACCTGAATGTGGCAGGCAGAGCCAGTTTTATTGTCTCTTTAATGACTTCTTTTTCTTTTTTCTTTTCTTTTTTTGGTCGTGGGGCTTGAACTCTGGGCCTGAGCAGTGTCCCTCAGCTCTTCAGCTCAAGGTGAGCACTCTACCACTTGAGCTACAGCACCACTTCCTCTAAGAATGACTTCTAAAGGGCATTCTCTCATTTTATAGTGGAACCCAGGGGTGTCTACTGCTAGACCAAAGTGTTATCTTTGATATACGTGCCTGTGGAAACCCACCCAAGTAGCATTTGGGCCAAGGAAAGGACAGGCAAAAATCATTCCCTTGTCTACCCTGAGTCACTTGACAGAGAGAGGACCCAAGAATTTAGGATTCCCACTGGTATTAGACCCAAAGCCAGCTGAGAGGTCATCTGAGGACAATTCCCCTGGGGTCAAAGTGTCCACAACAAGAAAAACATGTGAAATCCTGGGGAGAAGGTGGAGCCTGCAGGGGGGTGGGAAGAAGTGGCCTGGGAGGGGCTCTCCATTCTGTCAGAAGAATCCCACCCAAGCACTAATTCATACAGAATGGTTCTACAGAGGAGCCCCTCAGCTAAGAGGACAGGGCATCGGCTTCTATGTCAGTCCCTGGGCTAGGCACCAGCAATGGCTAGAACAAGATACAGATGTGACTGGCTAAGTACAGTGAATTCCATCCCTCTGGAAGAGGCAGAAGATGTCTTTGCATGGATATGAGGGCAATGAGAAGTGAGATAAGAAACAAAAAGAGGGACCTGGTGACAAGATGCTCAAGGAGCTGGAAGCCTTTGTGAGGAAAAAAGAATCCTGAAGGCAGCTCAACACTTAACCTTAGTAATGACAGAAGTACTACTCACTTGTAAAATATTCAAGTGCCAGAGTTTAAAGGAAAAGCTGTGGGAGTGAGACCCCACTCAGCTGCCTGTGTGCCACCTTCCACAGCTGCTTTTTTATAGTGCTGGCTATTAAACCCAGGACTCAGATATGGGCACATATACTTGCACTGAGTATATGTCAGCCTGTCTTCCAAAACTCTCCTTGTGCAAATACAAACAATAGGTACATGCTCGTGAAGGTAGATGCAGGGAGATGTTTTTATAAAAGTAGATTATACAGTACTTGCTTGTCTACAGCTTGTCATTTTTCTGTGATAGGTTTATCTCCAATTACAGGGAGGATGAATGACTAATGTCCTGGTTACAGAATTCAGAAGATATACTGGGGTGAAAGTATACTCCCACCCCAGCTGCCCAGCTTCCCTCTCCAGTGGCAGCCTGTCACCATGTCTTACGATATCCCATCCACAGGGATTCTATACCTTTTCAAACAAATAGACGTATGCTTACCCCATTTTTGCTGTATAATTTGCATGTTGTTTCTTATACACTGTTTTCTGCCCCCTTGCTTTTCTCACCAAATACATCCAGTCCTGTCATTCATAAGATTTGGTCATGCCCTTTAACAGCTGTGTGGTACCCGCCATGCCCCGCAGTTTAGAGTGCTGGTTCTCAGCAGGCCCTGGACCTGCAGCCTCAGTACCCCTAAGGAACGTGTGAGAAATGAAGATTCAGAATCAGACAACAGGAGTGCTCCCCCATGTGTGTAACAAACCTGGTGCATTTCATGCCACTTGATTTGGGGAGTCAAACAATGGTCGACAATAGAGTTAACAGTTTCCTCGGCAAGCAGCAGAGTCCTTGCTTGTTTAGTAACTGCATAGTACACCCTGTGGAGGTTTTCAAGCAGGCTAGTGCTGCAGACAGGTTTTTTGAGTTCTCTCCCAGCTGATGGGGGAGGGAAAGGTGAAGACAGCCTTGGGCCAACTGTGAGAAGGAGGTGATTCAGGAAATGTTCAGGAAGCCGAACTGTGGCAAGGTAAGTGACTGGAGGGCTAAGTAGAGGGGGCCCTAGGGTCTTGAGCTGGGGTGACAGGAACAGAATGGTTCAGGCATTACAGGTGGTTCCTAGGGCATGGCTTGGAAGCGGCACTCTCAGACCTCAAGCTCTGCCAATAGCTTGAAGTCAGGCATCTGTCTTCCTTTGCTTCTGCCCTGATAAACTGAAGGTCCAGAAAGCTATGCTTATATCTGCTTGTATGTCAGTCTCCTCCTCGCTCTTCTCCCCCCCCCCTTCTCTAATTATGTTTTGTGTTTCAGGAGCTGTTTGAATTAAGTATGTTTGGTTTGGTTTAAAAGTCCAAGTTATTATGTACAGAATTTCTGTAACTTCTTTACCTTTGGGGTTCTGTTCCTCAGGAAGGTTACAAGCTTTCTGAGCATCATCTGCTCACAAGTTCCCATCAGAAATTTCCAGATATTAAGGATGGAGCTCATCTAGTAAATAGTAGCCAGGAGCTTACATAGGCTCTGCAACCAGCCTGCCTGGGTTTGAATCCTGGGTCTGCTGCTCCCATCCATGTTTCACTAAGCAAGTTACTTTATCTATGAGACTCCATTTTCATGTCTGTCAAAAGTACCTGCTTCTTAGGGTTTATGAGAATGAAATCTTGTAAAGCACCCAAAGCAGTGTGTAGCACATGAAAACGTTTCAGTCAGTGATACCCTCATTACTGTTCCTGCCAGTCAGATCCCACATCTTCCATTCTGACTCAACACTGCAGCATAAGATATTTATAACAATTACCCGCAGAGACCAGATCCCTCTGCTTGGTGAAGCATCTGGCCAGCCTTGTTTGTCATCGAATATCAGACCTCTTCCTGCCTGAATACTGGGCTGCACTGAAAGAAATTTGTGGAAGTGAGTCACAGTACTGGTTTGCTGAGAAGCCACAAAGTCCTATTTTAATTTCAAGCCCTGTACTTCTATATGTACAGGTCTCTGCCTAGTAAATGCTTCACCTCCTTGTACGTAAACTACTCAACTCTGTTTATCTAGCTCCTGCTCCACACCAGACCCTTTGCTGAGCTTTCAAGGCCTTAAGTAGCATCTGCTCAAGTCACTTGTGACTAGAAATAGTGTTTTTTCTGCTTCCTAGTGATGCTCTTGTGTGTAATACAAATAGCATGTACAGCTCGAATGATTACTCAGGTGCTAAGTGCTTCTAATGTAAATGGGAATCCTTAAAACTCACTTTGCAGCCAAGAAACTGAGGCCCTAAGAGAGAAGATCAGCATCCCAGAGTCCTACAGCTGGGCAGAAGCACAGCTGGGAGCCTGGGCCTTCTGGCCTCGGTGTGCTCTGCACTGCTGAGTGTTTCCATGAGTGTTGCATTGATATGCCTTTCTGTCTTATTTCATGTCTGCTGCACTGTACTAGACTATTCACCTGTTAAGGTCTTAGCCTACCTGCCTAGAAACACTTAGAGATCAGGAGCTGGGTAGGGATTTTTTGACCCATACCACTATATTAAGGTTCTAGAGATGCAGAAGAAAGCAGGTACTTGCCTTATTCCTATTACCACCACCAAAAGCAGAAACCAGGGGCTGGCAGAAAAGAGGGAAGGAAACCAACCCCACAGGGCCAGTATTGTTTTCCCTCTCCCACCCCACCTCCTGGAAAAGCTGTCCCCATGACTCCGGGGGCAACAGTCTACCTTAGCCCTACACATGATAATCATAGCCTCTCACATGACCACAGAGCAGCAATGAATAAGTATCTCAGGTATAGTTCATATGCATCTTTGTGCATATGTGTAAGTTCTGTCTTCAGGAAAAGTTCCCAGAAGTGGAATTGCTTGCTCAGAGGGTGTGTGTGTACATTTGTGGTTTTCATATATATTGCCAAATTATCTCTACAAACAGACCTGTTGGCCCTTTCTTCCCCTGCATCCTACCAACTTTGTTAGCAGTGGTAGGATTCTTTGTACTCCAGGAGATGATAAATGGAATCTTGGTGTGTTTTAATTTGAATTACTAAAAATGAGCAGCTGAAGCTGAGCTTCAGCTTCTTGCTAGTGGCTCATATCTGTAATTCTAGCTGAGATCTGAGGATGATGGTTCAAAACTAAAATGGGCAGAAAAGCTCACAAGACTCATCTCCAGAGAACCAGCAGAAAGCTAGAAGTGGCTCAAGTGATAAAGCACTAGCCTTGAGCAAAAAAGCTCAGGGACAGCCCCTAAGCCCTGAGTTCAAGCCCCAGGACTGGCACTTACAGTGGGGAAGTCTAGAAGGGCTTCACGGTAGGAACACTTACTGACCCCTAAGGAATAAGGATTCTGCCTAGTATAAAAGGTATGTAAAGGGGCTGGGAAGGTGGCTCAGTGGTAGAGCGCTTGTCTTGCATGCATGAGGCCCTGGGTTTGATTCCTCAGCACCATATAAACCAAAAGAAAAAAGCCGAAAGTGACACTGGTTCAAGTGGTAGAGCGCTAGCCTTGAGCTGAAGAGCTGAGGGACAGCACCCAGGCCCAGAGTTCAGGCCCCACGACTGGACCCAAAAAAAAAAAAAAAGGTATGTAAAAAACTTTCAAGCTGGGCATTGGTGCTTGTGTCTGTAATCCTAGCTACATAGGAGATCTGAGGATCATGGTTCAAAACCAGCCCAGGCAGGAAAGCCTGTGCGACTCTTATCTCCAATTAACCACCAGAAAACCAGAAGTGGTCCTGTGGCTCAAGTAGTAGAGCGCTAGCCTTGAGCTGAAGAGCTGAGGGACAGCACCCAGGCACAGAGTTCAAGCCCCATGACCGACAAAAAGGAAAAAAAGAGCTTTCAAATACAAATTTAAACCAGGATTATACTATTACTAATGAGCTTTCATTTTAAAGTCTTTTAGCATAAAATCTGTGAAACTGGTTTAATTCTTTTGGGGGGGGGGCCAGTCATGGGGCCTGAACTCTGGGCCTGGGCACTGTCCTTCAGCTCTTCAGCTCAAAGTGAGTACTACCACTTGAGCCACAGCGCCACTTCCAGTTTTCTGGTGGTTAATTGGAGATAAGAGTCTCATGGGCTTTCCTGCCCAGGCTGGCTTTGAACCGTGGTCCTCAGATCTCAGCCTCCTGAGTAGCTAGGATTACAGACATGAGCCACCAGCCCTGGGCTGTAACATTTTCCGACCTGGGCTGGTTCACCCCTCCTTAGGCAGCCTGGTGTTCCCCCTGCTCCCGGGAGGTTACCATATTGATGCCGAGCTTAGTGCAGACACCCGATCAGCATAGCACACTGCAGCCCAGAACTCCTGGATTCAAGGGATCCTTCGGGCTCAGCCTTCCGAGTAGCTGGGATTACAGGCACATGCCACCGCAGCAGGCTGGGCTGTAAGTTTTTGAAATAGGATCTCACTTCCTCCCCCAGCCATGGGTTCTGCCTCACCCTTGAGAAAGGGTTTTGGTGAACTTTTCAGTCCAGGCTGACCTCAAACCTCATCCACCCTTCCAATCTTAGCCTCCCAAGTAGCTAGGATTACAGACATGAGCCACCAGCACCTCAAAATAGTGGAGTTATTTTTGGTTACATTCAGTTCTTTTTCGCGTAAATATTTATCCTCTGTCAGCTCTTTGCCCACAGTCATATTCTTGCCAACTGTGACATCTGCTGTCATAAATTTAATTGTGGCTTTATTTTTACTGTACTCAAATCTCCCAGTCATATTCTTTTAAGTTTACATTTTGCTTCTTGTAGTTGGTGTCTTCCTTTGTGCAATTTTAGCTTTCGTTAGTTTCGTTAGCTTATTTTAACTCTACTTATTACTTGTTGACTGCTGTATAAAAGACTAATCATATTTCCTCCTAGCTGACGTATTAGAAAATTGGTCACGGAAGCCAGGTAAGGTGGCCCACACCTATAATCCCAGCCCGCAAGAAGATTGAGAGTTGGGGGCCAGCCTGGGTTAAACAGCAAGACCCTGTCTCAAAAACAGTTCTCTTTATGAGATCAGCTGTCACAATTTCCATTGTCTCAGCTCTTCTCCACAGGTGCCCTGTACTCTAGGTTCAGAGCTCAGTGGCAGAATGATGAGATGGGTGTATCTCACCCATGGTGTAGACAAGAGAGAAAAGCATTAGCAAAATCTTTGGGGCCCAAGGCACTAAACTGGACTGGAACAAAAGGGGAAGAAAGAAAGCATCACATTTCACCACTCCCCAGCTGCGGTGGCCAGACCTGCAGCCCCAGCTCAGGGACCCTTTTGTTTTCTCCTCTAGAATTCCTCGGAGATGCCTGAAACCATCACCAGCCGGGATGCTGCCCGCTTCCCCATCATCGCCAGCTGCACACTCTTGGGGCTATATCTCTTTTTCAAAGTAAGTCATTTTTAGTTTAAATGATTTTATTTCATCTCATTTTTCACCTCACAGGAGCTATGCATGTTCCTTTATAGAACATAAAGCACTTACCGCACTTACCTGTAGATTTGTGACCCAGGGACATCACTGTGGATGTTTGAGACCCTCCCCATCCATCGATTTTTTTTTCTCATATAGTTTTTTGTTCTGTTTTGTGGTACTGCTTTGGTTTTAGCATACTGTTTACATTGGGCTGGGGATAGCTTGTGTTAGACATACCTCTGCCATACTAATCACCTTTTTTTTTTTTTAAATTTATCGAGGTTTATTTTCCCAATAAAAGTTACACGGGCTCAGTGTTGAAATCCTGGAATACACAGAAAAGTAAAAAGGGGGAAACAGCAGTCATCCAAAGCCCCACTGGCAGATACAGTGACAGTGACAGTTTCCCCTCGGAGGTGTGTCCTTCGTGTCTCTCCCTGCTCGGTTTCTCCACACTGTGACCGCATGCTGTATTTGGTCTGTAGCTGCTTTTTTCACTTAATTGATGATACCGTGAGCATTTTCTCATGTTGCTGCAAATGCTCCACAAGCTTTTATTTTAATATAACTGTACTACTTTCTGATGATAAAAATAATATAGGCAGAAAAGTGTGTCAAGAGAATGCAGAGGTCATCATGTCCACCTTGTCACTCGACTGGTATGTCTCCTTCCAGGCTTTTAAGAAGCATGATTTTTACATAGGAATAACTACAGTATTTTCTTCTGTTTTTTTTTTTGTTTTGTTTTGTTTTTGTTTTTTGTCAGTCGTGGGGCTTGAACTCTGGGCCTGAGTGCTGTCCCTGAGTTCTTCAGGTCAAGGCGAGCCTTCTACCACTTGAGCCACAGCGCCACTTCTGGTTTTCTGGTGGTTTATTGGAGATAAGAATCTTACGTGCTTTCCTTCCCGGGCTGGCTTTGAACCTCAGATCTCAGACTCCTGAGTAGCTAGCATTACAGAAGTAAGCCACTGGCACCCAGCCTCTTTGTTTTTTAAATAGTACATTACAAGCACTTTTTTCCTGGATTGGGAATTACTCAATAATGATTTAATTTGCATTTTCAAAGTATATGTATATGGTTTAACTTTTTGCAAGGCTGATTAAGTATAGTGGAGTACTTGCTTAGCATGTGTGAGGCCCTGGGTTCCATTCCTAGCAACAACAACAACAACAAAAAAAAAGTAAAAATTTTTTAGCCTAAGGAAAGACATAAAAGAGCTATAATCCTCTCCCCAATATAGTTTGTTATGAATCTTTTTTTTTTTTTTGCCAGTTCTGGGGCTTGAAATATAGACCTGGGCACTATCTCTGGCCTCCTTTTGCTCAAGGCTAGCACTCTACCACTTGAGCCACCACTTCTGGCTTTGTCTGTGATTAATTGGAGATGAGAGTCTCCCAGACTTTCCTACAAAGGCTGGCTTCAAACCACAATGCTCAGATCTCAGCCTCCTGAGTTGCTAGTATTACAGGCGTGAACTACTGGTGCCTAGCATGAATCTTATTCTTCAGAGTTAAGTTTAAAAGAAAAACACTAAAATTTTAAATGTGTACATCAAATCTACCCTTACCAGGGCAGTACTACCTGTGTCAACATCATGAAATCTACCTGGTGTTTTTCTAACAGCTTTTCAGGGTTGGTTACGATGTATCTGAGAGTGTTTAGATGTGAAATTGTTGCATTGCCATAGTGCTGACCATGGCAGTATTCATGTGGACCTCTTTGTGCACATATTTTGATTCATGTTTCATATTTTACTCAAGTATCTCTGCAGTAGGATTGCCAAGTCAGTCTTGGCTTCTGTAATCAGACACTGCCAAATTTCGTGTGTGTGTGTGTGTGGTGACACTGCCAAATTTCGTGTGTGTGTGTGTGTGGTGCTGGAATGAATCCAGGACCTCACACATGCTAATAAGCATACTCTCAGCCCCAGATAGTGCCAGATTGACCTCCAAGAAGATTGCTGTTTACATTCTCACCAACAGTTACACTTGGGCTCACTTCCTCCTGCTCTCAAGATAGCTAACAGCAGCATTTTTAATTTTTACTGATCTGTGGATGAAACAAACGCATAATTTGTAATGTCTCCTTACATAATTTGTAATTTATAGTTGCCTCCATGCTTCATTGTTGGATCAGAAACACTTTTATTGTGGGGAGAGGGTCCACTGTCCCTCAGCTTTTCAGCTCAAGGCTAGGGCTCTACCACTTGAGCCACAGTACTACTTCCGGTTTTCTGGTGGTTTATTGAGGTAAGAGTTTCATGGATTTCCTTGCCCATGCTGGGGCTGGCTTTGAACCACAATCTTAGATCTCATCTTCCTGAGTAGCTAGGATTACAGGCATGAGCCACTGGCGCCCGGTTCAAAAACATTCTTTTTTAAGTTGGCAGTTGTGGCACATGTCTATGATCCCAGCACTTAGGAGGCAGAAGAAGAACAATTATGAGTTCGAGGCCAGCCGGGGCCAAATAGTGAGGTCCTGTCTCTAAAAGCCATTAAAATGAAAATAATCTTTAATGTTTCCAGAATATCCTTATAAGCAGATACACTATAGGTGATATACAACATCATCTTCACTTTAAGCAAAGTGTCATTACCATTTTTACTCTGCGCACTGTTCTGTTTTCTCTTTTTTTCCTGGAACTCAAGTGAATAGCTGAGTACATCAAATGTCTTGACTCGTAGCATACCATTCTCAGACCCTGTCTTTGTTTGAACCCCTTCACTAGTAATGCCCACCTCCCTTCCCACCTTTCTTTCCCTATTCACCAGAGATCACTGCTCCCACATGTCTGGCATGTTGGTGTGTCTATATGAGGGAGAGTTGAGCTCTGCCACAAGCAGTCTTATATAGCAAGTCTCCCTCTGCTTCCTTTTCCTTTCCCCTGTACTCAGGTCTTTCTGCTGCTCTGCCAGCCCCTTGCTTCCGATTTGTCTTGTCACAGAATTATTCACGTCTCTCTTGTGCTGAGAGCAGGAATATATGTCCAGCCTGTCCTGAAGTCCTCTTACATGTGTAGTAACCGGTATTCTTTCCTTAGGCCAGATGCCCTCTTTTTGAAGCACTGGCTTCCTGTTTCTCAGCCTGTTCTCTCTTGGATAAGTGAGCTCCAACCGGCCTTGTGTCAAAGCCCAGTGTACCTCTCCCTGATGCTGTCGAGGGGCCACTTTGAGGTCCTGAAAGACAGCTGGTTAGCTGACTGCTTAAGAGAAAAAGTGGCTTTGCTTCAGCCCTTTTTTCCCTCCCTCCTGGTTGGGCTAAGTCTGTAACTGCTTTGTAAACTCCTAAAGCTTTATATTTTCCTGATATCTTGATATCCCCATGGACAAGATTTATGCATCCTGCCCAGGCAGCCAGGTGCATTGGTGTGATGAGACTGGTTTCTACCACCAGCCCCCTCTGCCTTTCCTTGATGATATTCAGATACAGAAGAGAAATGAGAAATTCCCCCAAAGTCTGTTATATATTCTTTGACCCTGACTCCAATAAAAGCATCTGTCCAGAGGTCTCCCTCATATTGAGCCTTTCTGAGGTACTTTCTGGATTGTTTGAAATGTCATATTGTAAGTGGAGAGATAAGCCTTCTGTATGGTTTTTTTTTTTTTTTTGGGTCCAGTCGTGGGGCCTGAACTCTGGGCCTGGGCGCTGTCCAGCTCAGGGCTAGCGCTCTACCACTTGAGCCACAGCGCCACTTCTGGCTTTTTTCTTTTTGCTTATGTGGTGCTGAGGAATCAAACCCAGGGCCTCGGGCATGCAAGGCAAGCACTCTACCACTGAGCCACTTTCCCAGTCCCTGTATGGTCTTTAAGGGACATTCCAACACAGGGAGGCATGTGCACTCAATGGTCCCTGGAGACAGGGACATACTCTTGGACAACAAGAATCCTTGAGCAGTTGTCCATGTTGGAGACCAGTGTAGAGAGCAAAGGCAGAAGGAGGCATTTCACTATGTGTTTAAACGTTGCTGGGTCACAGGTAAATGAGGGCAAGAAGGATAGCTTGTGGCAAGAACCAGCCTATTACTAGTCACCCGGCCACGTAGGCAGGGTGTGCCCAAGCCTATTTTTAAGAATGTTGAGGCATCAGGAAAAAGTCTTGAAATTTTAATAACATTTTTAATAACACTTTAATAACATTTCTCAGCCTTTTACTACATTTGCTTTATCTCACCTCATTTAAAACAGATTGTGTTGAAACAGCTTATAAAAATTAACTCCAAATATAAGTGTAATGAAAACCTGTAATCCCAGCATTTGAGAGGCAGAGGTGGTAGGATCAAAATTTCTTCAAGGCCAGTCTGGACTATACAATTAAGACTGTCTCAAAAAAGAAAAGAACAGAAAAAAAAAATCAGTAGCATAAGAAAAAGTTGCTGGGCATGGTGGCTCACCTGTAATCTAGCTACTCAGGAGGCTGAGATCTGAGGATCATGGTTCAAAGTCAGCCCCAGCCTAGGGCTGTAACCTTCGCATTATCAGGCACTGATTTTCCTCATCTATTCAGTGATTCTGCATTTATTGAGTACTGTCACATCGAGCTCTGTGCTGGGGACACTGTAGGGAGAAAAGCAGTTGGTGGTCTCTGCCCCCAGGATAGATGTGAAGTGGCTCTAGAAAAGCTGTAGTGCCAGGAAAGCACAGAAGGACCAGCGCAGGCTGAGCCCCTCCTGCCCATACCACCACACTAGACAGCAGTAGCACCATCCACCTGCTGCTCACCCAGAGCGCCCAGGCATCTCCTTCATCCCTGCCTCTTCTCCCAGCCCCTATATATACATCCTGCACTCTGGTTCCAGAACAGATCTGGACCCTGCACTACTCATCACCCTCCACGCCACTGCCTAAGGCATCACTCTCCTCCCTGTGTTGGGTTCTGCAGATCTTCCCTGAGCACTGTATTTATTACCACTTTTGCCATATAGGTTCTTGTTTTTTTTTGTCGGTTGTGGGGCTTGAACCCTGGGCCTGTGCACTGTCCTTCAGCTCAAGGCTAGAGCTCTACCACTTGAGCCACAGCACCACTTCTGGTTTTCTGGTGGTTTATTGGAGATAAGAGTCTCACAGCCTTTCCTGCCCGAGCTAGCTTCAGACCATGATCCTCAGATCTCAGCCTCCTGAGTAGCTAGGATTACAGGCGTAAGCCACTGGCGCCTGGCCCATGTAAGGTCTTCTATAAGCAGAGTTCCTCTCAGACATCAGATCATGTCATAGCCTTTCTCTCAGCTGTCACTATTCCATGCACACACAAAGAAGTGCCACCCCGACCTCTGTACCTGCCCTCCCCTCTGCCTTAGGTATCACCCCCAAGAATCTTTACAACCCACTCTTCACTGATTTTAGGATTATGCTCCAATGTCCTCTTCCAGAGGTCTTCCTTAACTACCTGTTTGAAATAACTGTCACTTTCTCTTAACTCTGCCCTGCTTGGCTTTTCTGAAGCACAATCTGATAAGACATTGTGAATCATTGGTTTGTCAGTAATTCTCCCTCCATCAAAGGCACAGGAATTCTGGGTGCAGGAACTTTGCCTAATTCCTTGCTGCATCCCAGGTGTTCAGTAAGATACCCTTGAATTGGGGGAGGAGGTACACTAGAATGCCAAGAAAGCAACCTAAGGAAAACTCTGAGCTGAGAGTGGAGGAAGGATGAGTAGAAGAGACATCTCAGGGCAGCATGTGCCCAAGCTACCTGTGCATGAGTATGGCACAGACCACTATAGGGGCTAGAACTGAGCATGGCAAAAGGAAGACACTGCAGGGCTTCAAACAGGACAGTGGCTAGGAACCAATGACTTACACCTGTAATCCTACTCAGGAGGCTGAGATCTGAGGGTCACAGTTCAAAGCCAGCCCAGGGAAGAAAAGTCCGTAAGACTCTTATCTCCAATTAACCACCAGAAAATCAGAAGTGGTGCAGCTCAAATGGTAGAACGTTAGTCTTTGAGCTAAAGAGCTCAGGAACAGTCCCCAGACCCAGAGATGAAGCTCCACAACTGACAAAAAAAAACAGGACAGTGACTCTAATCAGAGTTGCTCTGTATGTGTGTGTGTGAGTGTGATGGGCTTGAACTCAGGGCCTGGACACTGTCTCTGAGCTTTTGTGCTCAAAGCTAGCCTTCTACCAATTGTAACCACAGTGCCATTTCCAGCATTTTAATCATTAATTGGAGATAAAGCCCAGGCTGGCTTTCAACCACAATCCTCAGATCTGAACGTCATGAGTAGCTAGGATTACATGCGTCAGTCACTGACATCCAGTATAGGAAAGTGACATTTAAACAGATTCTGTAACAGGCCTGCTTGGAAGTAGCCAGAGTTCCTGTACAGTGTCTGAGAGCACATCTTTTCCTCCATTAAAGACCATCAGAATGTCAAATTCAGTAGAGGAGACAGCAAACATGGAATCATACAGCATAACCTTGCCAATGCCCAGAATTAGCATGACCACTGCCTTAGGATGTTTCTTAATTTCACCTGGCAGTAAGAAAGGGAGCAGCAGCTGTCAGGGCCTAATATCCTGACTGCCTGCCACCGTCAAGAGGCATGGTCAGAACTGATGTGAGATGTCTAGTAATTAGCATGCTTGGAGGTTTGGTGGCCACTTTGTAGGTGCTCCCAAGATTTTTGAACAGAGAAAATGGAGAAGTGAATTCTGAGGTTCCAGCAGCTCTCTTGGATCTGTGTTTATATTTTGTCATCCCCCACAACTACCATGAAAGACTAGGCATAAATATAATAACTGTCTTCAGATGTGGAACCATGATCACAAACCTTCAGACTCCTTTGGAAGGTACATCTGGGGGCTTGAAGGGCCACCCTTTTTTTCACAGCTGTACAAAATAGAAGGCCCCTAGTATTGCTTGACATTCTTCCTGATTGTCTCCTAACTCCTGAGAGGGGACTTTGGTTTCCTCATGGCTACCAGCTACCTAACTTCCTGTTTTCTTTTTTATTTCTGCAGATATTCTCCCAGGAATACATCAACCTCTTGCTGTCCATGTATTTCTTCGTGCTGGGAATCCTGGCCCTGTCCCACACCATCAGGTCAGAAGGCATCTCTGCAGCATTTGAAGCCACTTTCTTGGGAGCAAGTACAGGGTCTTGGATATGAACATGACCTTTGGTGTCATTGAGAGCCAGGTGTGGATCCTGGCTGTAAAATCCAAGGCAATCTTGCCCTTGTGTCATAAGGTGACCTAAGATGAAAATCATAACCTCTCTGGGCTACAGTTTCCACATAAGGGCTGATAGAGTACCCAGCTGGAGAGTTGCCTGTGAAAAGTACTGTCCTGGTAGTTGGCATAGCACTAGATGAGGGACGCCAGTGCACTAGGCTCAAGTCTTCACATATCATCTTTTCTCTTAATCAGAGGCACAGTGTGGGAAGCAGGAGTGCAGACACTGAGAAATTTGACTGCCTGACTTTGGATCCAAACTCTGCCACTTAATAGCCCTGTAACCTTGGGCAAGTTACTTACTTAATCTCTCTGAATGTGAAGAAAATAATAGTACTTCTCTCCTAGGGTAATGTGGAAAACTTTTTGTGGTCAGTCATAGGGCTTGAACTCTGGGCCTAGGTGCTGTCCCTCAGCTCTTCAGCTCAAGGCTAATGCTCTACCACTTGAGCAACAGCACCACTTCCAGTCTTCTGGTGGTTAAATGGAGATAAGAGTCTCCTGGACTTTCCTGCCCAAACTGGCTTTGAATTGTGATCCTCAGATCTCAGCCTCCTGAGTAGCTACGATTACAGGTGTGTGCTACCGGCTCCCAGCCTAATGTGGAAAACTTTTAACATGGTATCCTACACTTACTATGTTCAACAGTTTTTTTCAGTACCAGGGTTGCACTTAAGAGACTCCTACTTTTATGAGATGCTTGCTTAGCTGGTGCTCTACTACTTGATCCATGCCTTCAGCTCTGCTTTCTGCTGGATATTTTGGAGACAAAGTCTTTGAGACTTTTTTGCCTACGTTTGCTTTGAACTATGATCCTCTGGATCTCAGATTCCTGGGTAGCTAAGATTACAGGCATGAGACATGAGCACCTGGCATCTTACATATTCTTATAGCTTTTATCTGTGCTAACCTGCCACATAATCATCTATGGTTAGTTTTTGCTTTTAATCCTGAGTTGTAGTCAGGGAAACTGAAGCACAGAGAGGTTAAGAAGTTACTAGGATCACAGAGATGGTAAGTAACAGAACCAGAATTTAAACTCAGGTCTATGTGACCCAGAGGGGGCTACTATTGACTTTCTATCCTGTGCACTGCAAACCCTCAACATCCTTGTACTACCCACCACATGGGGGACAAGTTGTGCCCAAGCTTGTGTTTACAAAGATGTCTCAGTATGTTTCAACTGTCCCCTTGCAGTGGTTAGCCATAGGCTGAGAACCACTAATAGGGAGGTGGCCAGCAGACCAGGAATGTTCCCAGAAGGGAACTTGACTTCAACTCCAAAGGGTGGAAACCTGGAAGAGATCAGGCCAAGAGTTTAATAGTCCCTGCATATAAGTGATCACTATCAGCCTTTTCCCAGTGCAGTCAAAGAAAGCACTAGAGAGAAAGAACAGAATTTCCCTCAGCGACAGTGAACACCATGGAGAGTATGGCCCATTCCTCAAGGCATAGTGGCAGGATGGGGTGGTTAGAGCATAGTTTTGAGGGGCAGCCTGAGACCAAGGCCTGGTTCTCCCAGCTTTGCAATTTGCAGAGGTTATTCAAGCTTATCTGAGCATCAGTTTTCTAAGCTACAGAAAGAACCTCACAGAAAAACAGGAAGCATCAAATGAGCCTCTGTGTGCAGTGTCCTTAAAACACATGGCAGGCTACAGTGAGTCCCATGCTAGCCTGAGCTTACATATTGGGACACCACTCTGGTCTTTGGACTGATCTAGTACTACCTTCACCTACCCTGAGCCTTAACCTACAAAATCTTACTCGCACATTGAGAAGTGTTTTGTTTGGTTTGGTTTGGTTGGTGGTGGGACCTGAACTCTGGGCCTAGGCGCTGGCCCTCAGCTCTTCAGCTCTCCCACTTGAGCCACGGTGCCACTTCGAGCTTTTTCTGCTTATGTGGTGCTGAGGAATTGAACCCAGGGCCTCATGCATGCAAGGCAAGCACTCTACCACTAAGCCACTTTCCCAGACTCATCTTGAGAGAATTCTTATCCAGCTCCCTAGTCTGAAATGTGAAGGCTTAGAGAACCGGCAGTAAAGGCTGCACTCATGAGGACCTATGGCAGGGATGGAAAGAGTCACTCGACTCCATCCTAGGCTGATGAAGACCCAGCCCGCCCCACCTGCGAGCCTGGCCATCCTACCTCAGTGTTACTATAGACTGAGAGAACCCCACATTGTTTGAAAGCCACAGATGGGCCATATGCTAAGGAATTATGAGGTTACTTTATCTTAGCAACCCTTCAAAGAGATATTATCTCGATCCAACTCCCACACCAGATATATTGAATGATTGTCTCCTAACCAATTTGGAATTTTTCATGATAGATATCAACAGAAAATAAAAACTAACAGTAGCTTAGGGATGTAGCTTGGTGATAGAGAACTTGCCTTGTAAGTTTTAAACCCTGGGCTTGATCCTTCCTTGGCACTCAGAAAATAAAAAAGAATGGAATAAATAAAAATAAATAAAAAATGGAATAAAAAGTAAAAATTGTTAACTAGAAACTATAAATAATGAAAATGAGTGTCATATCCATCCTAATATAATTTAGAGCAGTAATGAGATATTATGTCTTATAAGCCCAGCAACTCAAGAGGCTGACTGACAGCCAGCAGTTGTGGCGCGCTCCTGTAATCCTATCTATTCATGAAGCTGAGATCTGAGGATCATGGTTCAAAGCCAGCCCAGGCAGGAAAGTCCATGAGATTCTTATCTGGTTAACCACCAAAGGCCAGAAGTAGAGCTATGATTTAGTAGTAGAACTCCAGTCTTGACAGAAAAAGTTCAGGGAAGCCGGGCGCTGGTGGCTCACGCCTGTAATCCTAGCTACTCAGGAGGCTGAGACCTGAGGATCGCGGTTCAAAGCCAGCCCGGGCAGGAGAGACCATGAGACTCCTATCTCCAATAAACCACCAGAAAACCGGAAGTGGCGCTGTAGCTCAAGTGGTAGAGTGCTCGCCTTGAGCTGAAGAGCTGAGGGACAGCGCCCAGGCCCAGAGTTCAAGCCCCACGACCACAAAAAAAAAAAGAGAAAAAGCTCAGGGATAGCATCCAACCAGACCCTGAGTACAAACCCTTGTACTAATCCTCCTTCCCCGCCCCCCCCAAAAAAAGAATAGATTTAGGTATAATAAAAGAAAGCTGAAGCTCCACTTCCTGCTTTTTGGTAGTTTATTAGAAATAAAGAGTCTCACAAACTTCAAACCACAGTCCTCAGGTCTTAGCCTCCTAAGTAGCTATGATTATAGGTGTGAATCACCAGCATCTGGCTCAATTTTTTGTTTGATTTTTTTACTTATAGCAACAAAATTTGACCTAAGAAAATTAGAGCTAGCTGGGCACCAGTGGCTCATGCCTGTAATCCTAGCTACTCAGGAGGCTGAGATCTGAGGATCACGGTTCAAAGCCAGCCGGGGCAAGAAAGTCCATGAGACTCTTATCTCCAGTAAACCACTAGAAAACCGGAAGTGGCACTGTAGCTCAAGTGGTAGAGTGCTTGCCTTGAGCTGAAGAGCACAGGAATAGCACCAGAGTTCAAGCCCCATGTCTGACAAAGAAAATTAGAGCTTGTAAAAATACTAGGTAGCTATGGACAGAGGTGTGCTCACCATACAGAACAGTCAGAGCAGCATATGGAGAAAAATTTGGTAGACAAAAACTGCCAAGTGAATGAAATTATTGTTTGTATGTAAAAGAACTACATGCTCTAAAGATAATTTTACTACAAAGAGAAATACAATTTAATTATGGGGGAGGAGGGTTATAGAGAATTTACCTAACAATTAAACTGACTCTTGTTCAGTTGAATTGAGTTTTCTTTAATACCTTCTCAAAGAAAATTACGGGATTGGAATTTCCATGAGCTTTATATATCCACAAACTTAAGAGTCAGATGTTCTTCCAGATCTATACAACAGTGGTCCAAAGGTGTGAGATGGAGAAAATTGAGGTTTGGAAGGGTTATGTGACTGCCAGGAGCCACAGATAGCAATGGCAGAGTGAGGTTTTGAGACCAGGCTGCCAAAAGTCTGTAGGAGCTGATCCCACCAGCCCACCGGCCCCAGCTGTGGTTTTCTCAGATCTCTGCACCTTTGCTACCATCCTGCTGCCTACCTCAATACTCTGAAAACAAACCATAGCTTATGGTATAGGGGGTGAGGCTATGAGCTGCCGTTATCTTTTGTACAGTCCCCAAAACTCAAGTCCAACTAGACCCCAGATATCCTCCTGCCAGCAGAGCCTTGGCTTATTTTTATCACCTCTGACAGTTCCTGTCCTGTGCAGCTGACCCTTGGAGGACAGAGGCCCAAAGCTGCCACCCCAGGAGGAGGAGGCCACATCACCAGTTTCACTAACCCTTACCATCCACTCCCAGAGAAGAAGGGTACCTGGGTGGTTACTTAGAAATCACAGGCCTTGTTTGACAGGAGCCATCAAAGGCTCTCTGCCTACTGCAAAAATGCATTGAGAGTTGTTCAGCAAGCATTTACCATTTACCACCCAGTTACCATGCCTAGCATGGATGGCAGGAAGATAAGTAGATAGGAGCCACTGCTCAGAATCACAACTGCCATGTGTCTCTTCTTGAGTTATATACAGCCTCTCTTTCCTCCAGAACAGACACCAGTCTGTTCAGTGTGGTACTGTACATCTGTAGTCTTCTCTACTCAGAAAGCTAAGGCAGGAGGATCACAAGTTTGAGACATATCGGGGCAATTTAGTGAGACTCAAAATTTTTAAAAGGCTAGGAGTATACCTCAGAGATAGGACACAGGCTTAGCATAAACCAGGACCTGCGTTCCCTCACCAGCACAAAGAAATGACAGTTGAGAAAAATTGAAGCTGCATTTAATTAAGTTCAGAAGATGCACTTACTTAATCCTGTGAATAGTCCCATGAGAAAGGAGTTACTTAGTGGTCCAGTTGTACCATAGATCATGCCTTTAATAGTAGAGCTGTAATTTGAGCCTATGAAGTCTGGCTCAAAGCCATATTCTTAACCAGCATACTATGCTGGTGAGAAGCAGAACATCAAGTTCCTAAGGAAGAGGCCAGACTGGGCAAAGGCCTTATTAGCTCCTTGAGCCACCTCTCTGCCTCTGCCCATAACTACACATACCCCAGCTTCAGACTTCCCCAAAGGTACCTCTATACACTCAGTTTCCAATCTCATCCATACCAGCTTCTGCCTCCCACATCTTTGGAGCTCTGCATGGAAGCCCATTTCTGATTCCAGCCCCCTATCTACCACATCTGCCCACAAGGCCTCTCAATATTCATACTGCAACCCAATCCTCCAAGCTACAAGCAATCGGTTCTGGAACAAATGGGGAACCTGAGGTCCAGAAATAGTTCTTTAGTCCACATCTTTCTCCAAGACACCAGAATATTAGAGAACTCTTGTCCACATGTCTTAATTACAGTGACCTGGACATATCTAGGCTGCCTCGGTTTACCTTTAGTTGGGAGAACAGTTATGTTTTCAAGCCCAGCCTCTAGAAACTGCACTATACAAAAGCTTACAGTTCTCACATATCCCTGTTGCAGTCCCAGCACTTGAGCTGAACATCTCTTCTACCTTTTCATCTTTACACAATCCTTTGTCCTTACAAACTAGTGGAAAGGCTGAAACCAAGGCTTGGAATTCCTGACTGCCATACTAACTCTATCTGCCTCTGTTTTTGTGTATATTTGGTGGGAACAGGCATTACAAAAATCACTGGGTACCAGTGGCTTAGGCCTGTAATCCTAGTTACTCAGGAGGCTGAGACCTGAAGATTGTAGTTCAAAGCCAGCCCAGGCAAAAAAATCCATGAGACTCCTCTCCAATTTCCATGGGAAGTGGTGCTGTGACTCAAAGTGGTAGAGCTTTAGCCTTGAGCAAAAGCACTCAGGGACAACACCCAGGCCCAGAGTTCAAGCCCCAGGACCAAACAAAAAAAAAAAAAAACACCAGGAGTTCAGAGAACCAGGTTTGAACCTCAGGACAGATACTTTATCACCCTGAGCAAGTCATTTTATAAGAACCTTTTATCTAGCCGGTCGCTGTGGCTCACGCCTGTAATCCTAGCTACTCAGGAGGCTGAGATCTGAGGATCACGGTTCAAACCCAGCCCGGGCAGGAGAGACCGTGAGACTCCTATCTCCAATAAACCACCAGAAAACCGGAAGTAGCACTGTAGCTCAAGTGGTAGAGTGCTCGCCTTGAGCTGAAGAGCTGAGGCTCGCCTTGAGCTGAAGAGCTGAGGGACAGCGCCCAGGCCCAGAGTTCAAGCCCCACAACCAACAAAAAAAAAAAAAAAGAACCTTTTATCTATAGACTAGGAAAAAAGCCAGGAACCTGTGGCTCACACATGTAATTCTAGCTTCTCAGAAAGCATAGATCTGAGAGCTACAGTTTGAAACCAGCCTGGGTAGGAAAGGCTATGAGACTCTTTTATCACTGATTAACCAGCCAGAAACCCTCAGTGGAGCAGTGGCTCAAGTGATAGAATACTAGTCTTGAGCTCTAAGAGCTCAAGGACAGAATGCAGGCCCTAGTTCAGCCCTAGAACTAGAAAAAGAAAAATTAACACCTACCTATCTGTGGAGCTGAGGGTGCCAAGATGTAACAGCAGTAAATGGGTGTTGAGGGTTATATTAGAGCTATTATTCCCAGGGGGCTCTGTTTGCCAACTTGCTTTGTCTTTCCTTCTAGCCCCCTCATGAATAAGTTTTTTCCAGCCAGCTTCCCAAACCGACAGTATCAGCTGCTCTTCACTCAGGGCTCTGGGGAAAACAAGGAAGGTCAGTGTTACCCACTTTCCCCTATGGTGTTTTGGTTTTCCCAGTTGTCTCCCAATACTGGATTCTCCCAATAGAGAAAATGATGAAAGTGGGCTCCAGGATATCTTTCCCTAGGTTCATATCCAGCTCTGCCACACTTAAACAGGACTCTGGGTGGATGGCTTATCTCTCTGAGCATTAGAATGGTTTTGCTGGGGCTTTTTCCCCCCATCTGAAAAACGCAAATCAAGCACCTTCTTCATAGAAGACCTTTTGGCTCTATTAGGACACAGTACATAATGAAAAACACCCAGCACACTGCCTGGCTCATAAAAGTACTCAACTAAACACTGCTGTCAATCAGGTTTTATGGTGTCTGTTTTTGTGTGATATTCAACCGGAGACTTGAAAGAGGGATTCGACGGCTTTTTTTTTAGCCATAGAGGGTTCCGGGGAGCCTAGGGATAGCGGGTTGTCATGTGGGTCCGAATATGGACTCGGGATTATCAGTAGCGTGACCAAATGGAAGCTGTAGCCCCGTTGGTAACAGTCGTAAGCCGTGGAATGCGTCCCCCTGCCGGCACCAGGCCCCTCCACCGCGTCGGAGCAGCAGCGTTGTTACGGGATCCTCTGTCTCCAGTGCACACATACCGAATAAACGATTTCTGGATTTTTTTTTAAGGCTAAGCCTTTTTTTTTAAGAGACCAGAGTCTCGGGGTCCGGACCACATCGGTCCCAGCTCTGCCTTACTCGGGTGGCCCTCGGGTCCGGGATGGCGACCATCGCTCCACTGTCCGGCCGAAGACATTGAAATTCCCCCGTCACGGGCCCCTTCAGCGGCCGGGGGGCGCTGGGCAGCGCGGCCGAGAGCGGTCCGGGAGCGAACGGCCCACGAGCGAGTGTCCAGCCAGAGCGCCGGCCGACGCCCCGCCCCAGACCCCGCTTCCGGCGACGACGGGAGCCGCTCTGCCCCTCTTCCTGCCCGTGGCCCTCCCTTTCCGCTGCCCCCGTGCCCAGGAATAGGACGCTAGAAGATCCGGAAGTGGGGGGAAAAGCGGACGGGGTGCTGACGTGATGCTCGGGAAACGGAAGTGGTCATATTTTGCGCGGCCGTAAAGCGCAGCCGGCTGGACCACTTTCCGGTTGACGACAACGGCCCGACCGCGTCCTCCGGTGCCGGCCTTCCTCGAGTGCGGAGCTTCCCGGGCTCTCACCGGTTCAAGTTTCGCGTGTGCCCGTCCCAGTTGGCGCCCTTCACCCGAGGATCATGTTCAAGAAATTTGACGAAAAGGAAGATGTATCCAACTGTATCCAGCTAAAGACGTCGGTTATTAAGGGTATCAAGAGCCAACTGACCGAGCAGTTTCCAGGTATTGAGCCGTGGCTTAATCAAATCATGCCCAAGAAAGATCCCGTTAAGATAGTCCGGTGCCATGAACATACGGAAATCCTTACGGTAAATGGAGAGTTGCTGTTTTTCAGACAAAGAAAGGGACCTTTTTATCCAACCCTCAGGTTACTTCACAAATACCCTTTTATCCTGCCACATCAGCAAGTTGATAAAGGAGCCATCAAATTCGTGCTCAGTGGCGCAAATATCATGTGTCCGGGTTTAACTTCTCGTGGAGCGAAGCTTTACCCTGCTGCAGTAGATACCATTGTGGCGGTCATGGCAGAAGGAAAGCAGCACGCTCTGTGTGTCGGAGTCATGAAGATGGCTGCAGAGGACATTGAGAAGGTCAACAAAGGAATTGGCATTGAAAATATCCATTATTTAAATGATGGTCTATGGCACATGAAGACATATAAGTGAGCCATAGAAGGAATGTACTTGGGTTAAATATAGATAATTGTGTTTGTATATGTGTTTGTGTCTGTGTGTGACAGCATGGAAACAGTGCCTCTGTAGTTATGCTGAATAAATTCAACATTCGCCTTTAAAAAAAAAAAAAAAAAAACACCCAGGGTCCTGCTACCCCAGCAGAGAATTGAAATTGGGGGAAAATTGTAGTTATCTGCTATACGCTGGAATCAGACTGGAGTGGCTACTGCTCTGTGAACCTGGGCAGCCTCCATCGTTTCTCCTGGCTTACTTGTTAGAAAGCTTAGAAGCATCAAGAATGGGTCAAACATCAGGATGCGTGCCACAAGGGTCCCCACAAGACCAACCTCAGGCCTGTTCCTGCCTTTTTTTTCTAGGCTTGTGTCACTACCCTCTTCTTCCTCTGCTATGGAACAAGAATTGCCAGCAACCTTCAATTCCTTTAGTGGCAAAAAGATTCCAGAAAGAACTGGGACCTTGTTAAAGACCTGAGTTCAGTGTGCCAGGCACTGTGCTGAGGGCATTATAAGGACCTTCACTTCCCCTAGTAGCTCTATGAGGGAGGTGCTGTTGCCGTTCTGACAAATGAGAAAACTGTAACTCAGAGAGGGAACTGTCTCCCCCAGAGTCTCCCAGCTGAAAGTGGCAGAGCCTATATTTCCAATACTAGGGACCACCTTCCTCTGACTCTCAATTTTCTCTGGGTCTCAGTTTCCTCTTCTAAAACATTAGAGGGGTTGGGATAGCTCTGATGGGCTCTTTCCATCCTAATACCCCCACCAAACTGGAGAAATCAAGGCTGAACCCCTGGGTCTGTGGGCTTCTGACCATGACCATAGACATGCCCTCCTCTATCCGGGGGCTGACAGGTGGGAGGGACAGCTCCACACTGGGGAGTGAACTTACCCAGCCTCTCTGCCCAGATATTGTCAACTATGAGTTTGACACTAAGGACCTGATATGCCTGGGCCTAAGCAGCATTGTTGGTGTGTGGTATCTGCTGAGGAAGGTAAGTAGCCAGCGCTTGTGTACAAGAGCCGGTAAGGGTGGCAGGGGAGGCAGCGTGTGGGCAGGGCAAAGTACAGTAAGCTAGGTCTAACTTCTGTTTTTCTCCAGCACTGGATTGCCAACAACCTGTTTGGCCTGGCCTTCTCCCTCAATGGAGTGGAGCTCCTGCACCTGAACAACGTCAGCACTGGCTGCATCCTGCTGGGTGGACTCTTCATCTACGATGTCTTCTGGGTGAGTCAAGCGGGCATTCCAGAGATGTCCATCTCTAGCCTCCCAGCCCCGCTTTCTTACTCCCCAATCTCTGGCCCAAGTGATAGTCATCTAAGGGAAATCAGGTCCCCTCTGGGTGGGCCCATCTGTAAAATGGAGCCAGAGAAAGCAAACTACCTATGACAGAGCCCATGCAGTACCTAGTGCCTCTGTCTACCCTCATGTCATTTTGATGGCTCTCAAATAGTAATCTCTGGGGGGCTGGGAAGGTGGCTTAGTGGTAGAGTGCTTGCCTTGCATGTGTGAGGCCCTGGGTTCGATTCCTCAGCACCACATAAGCAGAAAAAGCTGGAAGTGGTGCTGTGGCTCAAGCGGTAGAGCACTAGCCTTGAGCTGAAGAGGTGAGGGACAGTGCCCAGGCCCAGAGTTCAGGTACCATGACTGGCAAAAAAAAAAAAAAAAGTAATCTCTGGAGCAACTGAATTAAGACTCAGGGGTGTACAGATGGGTGGTAGAATACTAATGAATGGTCCAGTAATGACCTGGAAGAACAGAGACTGCCTGTGCTCTGGCTCCACACCCCATGAAGCATAGCTGAGGAATTAGATCAGCCCAACACAGGGACCTTTTCCCTGGCTCAAACAGCCATTCTCCCTTGCTGACCATTGGTGGCTCACACCTCTAATCCCAGGTACTCAAGAGACTGAGATCTGAGGATCACAGCTCAAAGCCAGTTTGGGCAGAATGCCCATGAGACTAATCTCCAGTTAACCCCCAGAAAACTGGAAGTGGCATTGTAGATCAAAGTGTGAGCACAATCACAAGTTTTGAGTGAAGAGCTCAGGGATAGCGCCCAGGCCCTGAGTTCAAGCCACATGACTGAAAGAAAAAAAAAGAAAAAGCAGCTATTCTCCCTTGAGTGGTTGGTGACTGAGGGCTTTTATCTCTTCAGGGGCTGGGGGCAGAAACAAACAGGCTGCCTAACTTGGGCCATCAGAGCTCCTTTGCAGACTCCTTGGAAGTTCCTCTCCACTGCCCAGAAATAGCATCAGGCTACCTCACCTCAGTTTCATCGGCTCTGAGCCCTCCTAGCTTCCTGCCTCATTCCTGCAGAACTCAGGCAGCAATGTTTTCAGATGCCATGGGACAGTTGTTCTTTACCACCCCTTCCTTTGCCTTCCTTCAGACTCTTCTTTTCTCCTTCCAGGTATTTGGTACCAATGTGATGGTGACGGTGGCCAAGTCATTTGAAGCACCAATAAAATGTAAGTGAGGGGCTGGGAATGTAACTTAGTGGCAGAGTGCTTATCTACCATGCATGAAGCCCTGGGTTCAGTTCCTCAGTACCACATAAACCGAAAAAGCTGGAAGTGGCACTGTGGCTCAAGTGGTAGAGTGTTAGCCTTGAGCTCAGAGAGACTCCGCAACAGAGCCCAGGCCCTGAGTTCAAGCCTTACAACTGGCAAAAAAAAAAAAGTAAGCATCTCCCACAATGTAGAACCCCCTCATCAACCATAGCGCATTCTCGTTTGGGTCAGTACTCCCTTTTCCCCATAAACTTCTTCCTCAAAGGTCTAGTGAATCTCTTCAACCTGGTTCTCTTATTTTGATTAATCCAGCTGTGTTCTTGATCTACCACCTTCTGCCTAAGCCCTTTCCCAGGGACAGCTGCTGGGTCATGGTAAGCAGAAATGGGAACAAGCTGGAAAGAAGCATAGAGAGGAGGTATCCAAACAGCCTATTGTGGGGCTGAGGAGAACTTTCCAGAGGGGAGACTACCATATTGAGAACTGAGAGCATAGGACCCACTTACCTTCTCTAGAACTCTGTCTTTCATATTGACTTGGTTTATTTTTCATTTTTTTAAGGTTTTTTTGGGGGGTTCTTTTGTTTTTTTTTTTTCTTGGTTGGTCGTGGGGCTTGAACTCTGGGCCTGGGCGCTATCCCTCAGCTCTTCAGCTCAAGGCGAGAGGACTCTACCACTTGAGCCACAGCGCCACTTCTGGTTTTCTAGTAGTTTATTGGAGATAAGAGTTTCACGGACTTTCCTGCCCAGGCTGGCTTTGAACCGCAATCCTCAGATCTCAGCCTCCTGAGTAGCTAGAATTACAGGCGTGAGCCACCGGCGCCTGGCAAGTTTTTTTAATTGTTATTATAAAGATGATGTATAGAGGGGTTATAGTTACATAGGTACTAAGGTGCTGTCCCTGAGCTCTTTTTGCTCAAGGCTAGTGCTCTACCACTTTGAGCCAACAATGCCACTTCCCATTTTCTGGTGGTTAATTGGAGATAAGAGTCACGAATTTGGGGCTGGGAAGGTGGCTCAGTGGTAGGGTGCTTGCCTTGCATACATGAGGCCCTGGGTTTAATTCCTGAGCACCATATAAGCAGAAAAAGCCAGAAGTGGCGCTGTGACTCAAGTGGTAAAGTGCTATCCTTGAGCCGAAGAGCTGAGGGACAGCGCCCAGGCCCAGAGTTCAGGGTCCATGACCGACAAAAAAAAAAAGTCATGAATTTTCCTGCCCAGGCTGGCTTTGAACTGTTATCCTCACATCTCAGCCTCCTAAGTAGCTAGAGTTATAGGCATAAGCCATGGTGCCAGGTAAGCTCATGGTCTCTAGATGAGATCATGCTTCCTAGCATTGACTCTTCACTCAGCCATATCGAGGCACAAAAGGGAAGCTTTATCTCAGGAGAAATCAATCCCCCTGCCTCTTTCCTATTTAATATCACAAAATTGGATCACAGATTCAAATTATGCATCAGCAAGACAGATGAGAAAAATACGTAATTAGCTTAGAGTCCCAGTCCTAGACTGTGCACTGATCACCTCTTCAAATCATCAGGCTGTGTACTGGATGTGCATGATAGAAAAGAAAAAGGTATGGGACTGGGAATGTGGCTTAGTGGTAGAGTGCTTGCCTGGCATTCATGAAGCCCTGGGTTCAATTCTTCAGTACCACATAAACAGAAAAGGCCAGAAGTGGCACTGTTGCTCAAGTGGTAGAGTGCTAGCCTCAAACAAAACAAGCTCGGGGACAGTGCCTAGGCCCTGAGTTCAAACCCCAGGACTGACAAAAAAAAAAAAAGTAGCCTGGTGGAGCCTTTGCCTGTCAGTGATGCCTCAGTGAAGTCAGCTCAGAACACAAAGAATTTCCTGTCTTTCTTGTCCCATTCCCTGCTGTAGACAACTTTTTGCCATGAACTGGGCTAGAATTTATAGCCACAAATCACTTCTAAATTATGTAGTCTCAGGCTGGGATGTAGCTCAGTGGCAAAGTGCTTGCCTAGCAAGTACAATATCCTGGGTTCAATCCCTAGAACCAAAAAAGAAAAAAAAAGTCAAAAGATAAATAAATTCTGTAGTCCCAGCTCAATTAGCCCAGAGGAAAAGCTTTAACATGAATAAACTCCCAGAGACTATCCATGTTCATCTTCCTAAAGAGATGGAAGCAGGGTACAACTTGGCAGCTTCTCTATTACTCTGAGCCCAAGGCTTCTACAGCTTTATAAAGCACTGAAATTGCTGGGCATCACTGGCTTAAGCCTGTAATTCTACTTACTTAAAGACTAAGATCTGAGGATTGCAGTTCAAAGCCCAGGCAGAATAGTCCATGAGACTCATCTCTAATTAACCACCAGGAAACCAGAAGTAGTGCTGTGGCTCAAAGTGGTAGAACAGTAGTCTTGAGTAAAAAAGTTCAGTGCCCTGGCCCTGAGTTCAAGCCCCACAATCAACCAAAAAAGGGAAAAAAAGAAAGCACTGAGATTGTATGGTATGTGAGTTACTTACTGCCAGAGAGCCCCAGATTTCTCCCCATTCTAACCAGCTGTGACTCCAGACAGAGACATTGCTCATCAGCCAGTAAAGTTCTCACCACCACCCCATTGCCCCCAGAAACACAAGTGTGTGTGTGTGTGTGTGTGTGTGTGTGTGTGTTACCCAGGGTTGGGGATTGGCAGCCTGAGTGTTATGAACTCTAGCCTAACTTCATCACTGTGTCTCCCTGCAGTGGTGTTTCCCCAGGATCTGCTGGAGAAGGGCCTGGAGGCAGACAACTTCGCCATGCTAGGACTCGGAGATATTGTCATTCCAGGTAACTCTGCTGGAAGAGGGTTATGGTAGAGGGGGTGGAGAGATATTCTAGAACAAGGAGGAGCACTATGAAAAAGATAGCTTTACTTGTTGAGAAAGAACAGGGAAGCCCAGGATTTGGTGAAAGATTCTTCTTCAACACACTTTTGTGGAGCAGCAGTCATATGTTAGGCCCTGAGCTGGACCCTAGATGGACAGTAGCGAACAAGGCTGTCATCATAGAAGTTCTGCTCTAGACAAACTGTCATGATTTTTAAAAAAAAAAAAAAAAAACTTAAAAAGAAAATGTCTAGGGCTGGTAGAGTGCTTGCCTAGTATGCATGAAGCCCTGGGTTCAATTCCTCAGTACCACATAAACAGAATAAGCTGGAAATGGCCCTGTGGCTCAAGTGGTAGAGTGCTAGCCTTGAGCTCAGAGAGGCTCAGGGACAGAGCCCAGGCCCTGAGTTCAAGCCCCAGCACCAGAAGAAAAAAAAAAAGGAAATGTCTAATGAGTGAGATCAACTCTGGAAAATAAAGCATATTATATGCTGGGTACCAGAGGCTCATGCATATAATCCTAGTTACTCCAGTGGCTGAGATCTGAAGATTGCAATTAGAAGCTTGCCTGAGCAAGAGTCCATGAGACTCTTATCTCCACTTTACCCAAAAATCTGGAAATGGAGCAGTGGCTTAAGAGCTCAGGGAGTTTAGGAATTTAGCTCAGTGGAAGATTACTTGCCTGGCAAGTGCAAGGCCCTGAGTTCAGTCTTCAGCTCTGAAAAACTACAAAATGGAAAAAAGAAATAAAGCTTAAGGAAATGGCACCAGTGTCCCATGCCTGTAACCCTAGCTACTCAGACAGGATAGGAAAGTTTGTGAGACTCATCTCCAGTTAAGCACCCAAAAAGCTGAGTGGAGCCATAGCTCAAGTGGTAAAACACTAGCCTTGAGCAAAAAGAGCTTAAGCCACAGAACTGGCGCATGCGCGCGCACACGTGTACGCACACACACACACACACACACACACACACACATACACACAGCTCAGGGACAGCACCCAGGCCCTGAGTTTAAGACCCAGGTCTAGCACCACCACCATCATCTCCTCAATAAAGTGTGACTGCCTCAAAGGAGCCCAACATCCCTCATAGATAAGTTACAGATGGCCTACGACTACCATTGTCCCCTTGTTCCTGTCTCCTTTGCTGAAAGGACAGAGAGCAAGAATGCAGGTGTGAGCCACTGTGTGTGCTCTTGGCACATACCTGCTTGTCTGCACAATCTAGCCTTTGAGCCACATCTATGTGTGGGTGCTTATCAGTGCGCCATGGATGTGACACAGGTTTATGTCCCCATACATCAATGAATGTGCCTCAGTGTGGCATCGAAACTCCCAGTGGAGACTCACGATAGCTACAGTGGCTAAGACTTCAAAGCTATGTGTCTGCAGACCTGGTAACAGAACATGCCAGTTCTAGTCACGGGTTCAATCAGTAGATTCGAAGGCTGTTACCGAGTTTGGAATACGTTAGAAGCCAGCTTGTTTTCTAGGGTAGGAAGATGAAAGAGCAACGGTAATAACTCAGGTGATGTGGGCATATTTGCCTGTGATGCTCTCTCCTTGGGCACATGCAGATGAAGCTGAGGCTTTAGGTAAAGAAAGCCTAACTTGAAGAGAGGAAAGGGGCTTTCAGAAGTGAATAGACTATAGACACTTACCAGCTTATAACCAGCTGGACTCAGACCAAGCCTGTCTTCACTGCAAAAAAGATGACACTGTAAGGCTGGGGTGTTGCCCAGTATAAGACCCCAGAATTCATCCAGCATTCATGAATGGGTGAAGTATGTATGTATGTCAAGAACCTGTTTTCCCTAGCATGATACTGGAGACTTTCTATGCATTATCATTATTAGTCCAGCAGCCCCTTTAATATAAAAACTACTTCCATTTTTCAGATGAGGAAGAAGGTTAAAAAATATGGTTCCCAGGGCTGGGAAGGTGGCTCAGTGGTAGAGAGCTTGCCTTGCATACATGAGGCCCTGGGTTCAATTCCTCAGCACCACATAAGCAAAAAAGAAAAAAACCGGAAGTGGCGCTGTGGCTCAAGTGGTAGAGCGCTAGCCTTGAGGAGGAGCTTAGGGACAGCGTCCAGGCCCAGAGTTCAGGCCCCACAACCGGACCCAAAAAAAACATATATATATGGTTCCTAGTTAGATGCGGGGGCTCACGCCTGTAATCCTAGCTACTCAAGAGGCTGAGATGTAAGGATCACGGTTCAAAGCCAGCCCGGGCAGGAAAGCCAATTAACTACCAGAAAACTGGAAGTGGCACTGTGGCTCAAGTGGTAGAGTACTCCCCTTGAGCTGAAGCACTGAGGGACAGCACCCAGGCCCAGAGTTCATGACCGACAAAAAATAATAATGAATACACACACACACACACACACACACACACACAATTTGTGGGCAAAAAAGTAAGCTGGGCCCTGGTGGCTCACACCTATAGCTACTCAAAAAGCTGAAATCTAAGGGTTGAGAATTAAAGCCTGGACAGACCAATAAATCCAAGAGATTCTTATCTCCAATTAACCTTAAAAAAAAAAAAAAAAAAAAAAAAGCCTGAAGTGAAGATTTGGCTCAAGTGGTAGAGTGCCAGCCTTAAGTGAAAAACTGGAAAAAAAGAGAAAAAAAGTAACATAACTGCTTGCCTGGGGAGCTTCGGCTTGAACTGAACTATTTCCATGTTTCACGGCTCCATGAGGCAGGATGCTTTCTTCTCAAGAAAGGTAACTCATACAAGGGAAAAAAAGCATTTGGCTTAATCTCCAGAGTATGGTCTTTCTTAGACACTCAGTGACAGACCGCTCCAATATCCTTGGTGGTCAGTTCTAGCTGTCAGTTCTGGCTGTTTCTGCATGTTTATCCTTCCCAAATTCATAGATGTCTCAGAATCTTTCAGCACTCGTGAGAATCTCAGTGAACTGGGCCCTCTTCCTGCCCAGGTGGAGCATGCTTTGAGGACCAGATGAGCTGTTAGGAGTGAACACCTCTGTCAGAACTCCAGCCCCTGGATTGGTTGAAGAACAGTTGAGAATTTATCTGCCAGGATGTTGAGTTTTCCCACTTTGCAGTAGGGCAGCCCTGGCACTCTCCACCTACCAAACTATTTAGAGTCATTACAAGTGACTAACACATTTTTCTCTTTTTTTTGGGGGGGGGGTCATTCTTGGGGCTTGAACTCAGGGCCTCTGCGTTGTCCCTGAGCTTTTCTGTTCACAGATAGTGCTCTACCACTGGTGGTTAATTGGAGATAAGGGTCTCTCAGAACTTCCTGCCCAGGCAGGCTTTGAACTGTAATCTTCAGATCTCAGCCTCTTGAGTAGCTAGGATTACAGATGTGAGCCACCAGGGCCCAGGTCATTTTCCTTTTTTAAATTAATTATTTAAATCAAGCACCAGTAATCCTAGTTACTTTTGGGAGGCTGAGATTTAAGGATCCAGGTTTGAAGCCAGCCCAAGCAGAAAAGTCTGAGACCTCTCCTTCCTTCCTTCCCTCCTTCCTTCCTTTTTTCCTTCCTTTCTTTTCTCTCTTTCTCCCTCTCTCTTTCATGCTGGTTCTGGGGCTTGAACTAAGACCCTAGGCACATCCCAGAGGCTGTTTTGTTTCTCAAGGCTAGTGGTCTAGTGCTTTAAGCCACAGCTCCACTTCCAGTTTTTCTGGTGGATAATTGGAAGTAAGAGTCTCCCAGACTTTCCTGCCTGGGCTGGCTTTGAACTGCTATCCTCACATCTCTGTCTCCTGACTTGCTAGAATTACAAGTGTGAGCCACTAGCACCTGACTCCAGGAGACTCTTTTTTTTTTCCTGGCTACAAGTTTATTCAACACAAAACAATCTCCATCTTTACTGGGGTGGCTGACCACGTCCACGACCAAATCCACCTCTAAACTGGGATTCAGTTGCTGACCCAGCCCCAGCCTCGGCTTTCTTGTCAGCACCAGGGGGCACAGCACTCTGTCTGTAGGTGTCTCTGTCAGCTTCACCTCTTGTGAGTCTTGCAGGCCGCTCGCCCTCCAGACCTTTTGGCTGAGGCCTTCCAGTCTCAGGTCAGCTGCGGCGCAAGGTAGCAGGCACAATCTCAGGGGGCAGGTGGAGGTAATCACCAAGATGCTGGATACCCTCGTTGGTCAGGTACCAATAAAAATGCCTCCAGGGGCTGGGAAGGTGGCTCAGTGGTAGAGCGCTTGCCTTGCATGCCTGAGGCCCTGGGTTCAATTCCTCAGCACCACATAAGCAAAAAGAAAAAAACCGGAAGTGGTGCTGTGGCTCAAGTGGTAGAGCACTAGCCTTGAGCTGAAGGACAGTGCCCAGGCCCGGAGTTCAAGCCCCACGACTGGACCCCCCCCCCCCAAAAAAAAAAAAAAAAAAAGCCTCCAGGCAAACTGTTCCTTCCCGTAGCCCCGAGACTTGAGAGACTGCTTGGCCTTTGTGACGTGAAGGTTTGGCACATTCTTTTTGTTGTTGTTGTTTTGGGTCCAGTCGTGGGACCTGAACTCTGGGCCTAGGCGCTGTCCCTCAGCTCTTCAGCTCAAGGCTAGCGCTCTACTACTTGAGCCCAGTGCCACGTCTGGCTTTTTTTCTTTTTGCTTGTATGGTGCTAGGGAATTGAACCCAGGGCCTCAGGCATGCAAGGCAAGCGCTCTAAAACTGAGCCACCTTCCCAGCCCCAGGTTGGGCACATTCTTGTCTGCCAGTTCTGGGTGCTTGGGCATGTGGACATCCTTCTTGGCCACCATAACACCCTCCTTAAAAAGGAGTTCATAAATGGCAATCTGGTTTTTCTTGTGCATCAACATCACAGCGGCTTCAGGGTCAGAGGCCAAGACTGGAAAGGAAAGGGGCATGCGCGATACGGCGCCTCTTCCGGGTTACGTGGCCTCGCCTCTTCTAGGAGGCTCTTTATCTCCAACTAACCACCAAAAAGCCAGCAGTGGAACTATGACTCAAGTAGTAGAGTTATTAGCCTTGAGCAAAAAAGCTCAGGAATAGTGCCCAGATTCTTAAGTTTAAACCCCAGAGCCAGCACACAAATACACAAAAATAATAAGCTGGGAGCCGTAGCTACTCAAGAGGCTGAGTTCTGAGGATCACGGTTCAACACCAGTCTGGGCAGGAAAGTCCAGGAGACTCTTATCTCCAATTAACTACCAGAAAACTGGAAGTGGCGCTGTGGCTCAAGTGGTAGAACACTCACCTTGAGCTGAAGAACTCAGAGACAGCGCCCAAGCCCAAAGTTCAAGCCCCACCACTGACCAAAAAATAAAAAATAAGTAAATAAATAATTTGTGCTAGAGGTGTAGCTCAGCAATAGATCACTTGGCTACCATGTCCAAGGCTTTGGATTTGATCCTCAGCACTGCAGAATACTTATAAATGTATGTAAATGCATATACATATTTGCATATAAATCACATGTTGTCTGTTGGTGCTTCTGATCAGCACAGAATGTTTTGGTACTTTTTTTTGTGTGTCAGTCCTGGGGCTTGAACTCAAGCCTGGTGTAGCTCTTTTGTTCAAGGCTCAACCACTTGACACTCAACCACTTGAGCCATAGTTCTATTTCCAGTCTTTTGCTAGCTAATCAGAAATAAGAGTTTCACAAACTTTCCTGCCCCCATTGTTCTAAATAGAGAAACTGGGATTTCTGTGGGCATTTGGCAGTGTTGGCTACCCCTTTAGTCCCCAATGAGGGTTCCATGCCTGGGAATACCAATCTGGGACCCGCTCCTTCTCTGCCACAATCTAACCCTGACTTTCTTCCCACAGGGATCTTCATTGCCTTGCTGCTGCGTTTTGATATCAGGTAAGGGAGGAAGGGCCTCCTTAGGGGGGACCAAATACTCTACCCAGAGCAATGGAAGCAATTCCAGTTTCATGTCCGTTCTGAAATTTAAGTGTTCCAAGAGCCCTATCCAAAATGTTCTGTAGTGTTGAGAACACAGACCAAGAGTTTAAATCCAGAACAAATGTCCTAGTGGGACATGCAGTGCTTTCTCCCTGTGCCCTTGCAAGCAGCCTAGCCTTGCTAAGTCTTGGATTTCTCACACTTAAGGTAGTAATAGACAAAAGTTCCTACCTCAAGTGCATCACAACAGTCTGGAGAGAGTGCTGAGTGCAGGCCAGCCACAATTACCAATATCATCATCCTTACCAGCCTGAGGTCAGGTCACAGGGTCCCAGCTAGGTCTCTAGCTATTGCCTGCCCTCTCCTTACTTGGATTTTTTTTTTCTTTCAGTCTGCTGTAGAAAATCAGCACAGGGCTGAGGGTATGGCTCAGTGGAAGAGAGTTTGCCTAGCTAGTCAGGGCCTAGGCACTGCCCCTGAACTTTTTTGCTTAAGGTTAGTGCTCTATCACTTGGGCCATAACTCCACTTATAGCTTTTGAGTGGTTAATGGGAAATAAGAGTCTTAAGAGACTCTTAAGAGACTTTGCTAGTTAGGCTGGCTTTAAAACATAATCCTTGGATCTCTGCATCCTGAATAGCTAAGATTACAGATGTGAGCCCACTGACACCCAACTTGTTTTGTGTCTTAGGGGTTTTGTTTTTGTGTATATCAGGGGCTTGATGGAACTTGGGGCCTAGGGCACTATCTCTGAGACTTTTTGCTCAAGTACTTTACCACTTGAACCACAGCTACACTTCTAATCATTTACTAGTTAGAGATAAAAATTTCATAGACTTTCTTGTTTCTTGTCCCCAACTGAACTTTGATCCTTAGATCTCAACCTTCTGACTGAGTAGCTAGGATTACAGGCATGAGCCATCAGTACCTGATTTATTTTGTGCTTGTTAGACAGTTTCACTTTGTAGTCCAGCTGACCTCAAACCCTGAGTGTTTACAAGCATGGACCACCTTGCCTGTTTTTGGGGGGCGGGGTTTTGTTTTGTTTTATTTTTTTTGGTCGTGGGGCCTGTACTGTGAGCCTGGGCACTGTCCCCCAGCTCTTCTGCTCAAGGCTAGTGCTCTACCACCACTGGAGCCACAGCACCACTTCTGGCTTTTTCTGCTTATGTGGTGCTGAGGAATCGAACCCAGGGCCTCGTGCATGCAAGGCAAGCATTCTACCACTAAGCCACCTTTCCAGCCCTTGCCTATCTTTTTACTTGATTGATGCTTTTCTTTTGCAGCACTGAGAGTCAAACTGAGGCCTTGAGCATAGTAGACAGGCACTAGAACTAACTCCCCAACCTCTAATATCTGGATGCTTTGTGTAGTTCCACTTAAAACCTCATGAAATCACAGGCTTCCAGATAACTTTAATAGGGCCTGACCAGTAAGTAGGGAAACCTACATCTGTACCTTCCACCTCCACTCCAGAAGTAGCACATAGAGAAACCCACAGAAGTCCCCCTGGCTCACCTGCTGCAGGCACAGACTTAGCTGCCAGCACCCCAGAGTCAGAAGATAGACCTATCTCATCTAGGTTCACAGGGTGACAGTGTAATTCTAGAATCAGTGTCACATTCCCAGAGTCACTTGCACCAGCCCTCACAAAAGCCATCTAGAGAAAAAAAGAAGCCAAAGGTACTCATTCTACATCTTAAGTGAGCCTGCAGTACTTGGTGGGCACCATTCCTGCTGCTTGGGCCAGCAAGGGACTTTAGCTGGCATTGTACAGGAAAGTCAGGTAGTGGTGGTATCAGGTTGCATTTGATTCATAGATTCTGAAGCTGATCTTGGATGAATCACCAGGAAACTACTGGCATTTTTTTCCGTGCAGCTGGCATCTATTGGGTGCTCACAGATACTGAGTTGTTGCATCTGCCACATTTAACAGTAGAAAAATTGCCTTCACAGTTTCTGTCTTTCTATTTCCCACAGCCTGAGCCACCCATATCACAGCCTCTGTTGTTTTTCAACATGCAGTTCCTTGGCCTTGCCTCACACCTGCATTTTTTTCACAAGCTTTTGTAAATGATCTGTATGCGGACTCAAAGTCTCCCAGCCACTGTTGCAGGTTATATTTGATATTTAATCAAAACCACCAAGGAGATGGGCTCCTGTTTCTTCCATTCTGCAGAAGAGTAAGCTAGGCTGAGGGAATGATAGTGACTTATCCAAAGACCCTTACTAGGCTAGGGGGTGGGAATGTGGCCTAGTGATAAAGTGCTTGCCTAGCATGCTTGAAGCCCTGGGTTCGATTCCTCAGTACCACATAAACAGAAAAATCCAGAAGTGGCGCTGTGGCTCAAGTGGTAGAGTGCTAGCTTTGAGCAAATGAAGCTCAGGGAGAGTGCCCAGACCATGAGTTCAAGCCCTAGGACTGGCAAAAAACAAAGACACTAATTAGCTGGGGCAAGTGCAGACTCTAACCCCCATCTCAGAGTTCAGATCCCCTAACAACGAGAGGGTCTTCCCGAGACAGGAGCTTGCTCTTCCAGACCTACGTCTAACCCTCATCCTCCTCCCCATCTTCCCTGAAGCTTGAAGAAGAACACTCACACCTACTTCTACACCAGCTTCGCTGCCTACATCTTTGGCCTGGGCCTTACCATCTCCATTATGCATATCTTCAAGCATGCCCAGGTAAGCAGGCTATCCTTATGTGAGTGGCAGTATTATACTGCAAGTAACAGGACTGGCAGAGGTTTTGCTTCTTGTGTACACAGCCAGAAGTGGGCACTTTCTGGCGGGATCAGCAGTGGTTTGTGGTTGCAGGGTGGCTGTCTGTGCTCTTAGCAGGTCATGCTTAAGAGGAAAAAAGCCAATCGTGCTGTTGTCCTCCTTAGGAAGACAGAAACCTTTCCCAGATCCTCACAGATGTTTGCTTACATCTCAGAAGCCAAGTAGATTGCCCTGACTGCAGAGGACAAATGGGAAGAAGAGCTGGCTTCACTGGCTCTCTAGTTGGGGCAGATTGAGTAGAACTGAGTAGGTGTTGTGGGGTTTTTTCTCTTTTTTTTTTTTTATTATTATGAAGGTAATGTAAAAAGGGGTTACAGTTACACAAGTCAGGTAAAGAATACATTTCTTTTTGAACAATGTCATCCTTCCCTCACTCCCTCCCAGTTCCTCACCCCTCCCCCACCTCTGTCCCTACCCACAATAGTTCATTTTCAGCCTAGTGTCTAGTGAGTACCACTGCTGCCTTTGTTCCCCCTTTACCCCTCCATTTCTGTGCCTCCCCTTCCCTTTCAAGTGTTGAGTTTTTCAGTCCAGGGTTCCTCCCAAGCAGGCCAAGGCTCTGCCTCTTCCTCCTACCAAGATGGGTGCTAGTAGTCAAAGCCCCTGAGTGAGTGTAGCCTAAACGTTGGGAGTGGATAGAGCAGGCAGAATGCCTCTGCTGGAGTAAAAGGGAGCCTTGCTTGTTGATTACTTCCTGCTTGCCAGGCTTTGTGCCGAGAAGGTCCTTGTGAACAGATGAAGAACCACATAGCAGTCTTGTGGCAGAGTCAGAACTCAAGCCTAGGTCAGTGTGAAAACCAGGCTCAGGCTCAACGGCCCTGGTTCTAGGAAAGGCAGCATGGAACAGAAGTTGAGAGGACCCTGTTGGGAATCCAGACAACCTCATTCATTAATAAGAACAGAAAAGAGCCGGGCGCTGGTGGCTCACGCCTGTAATCCTAGCTACTCAGGAGGCTGAGATCTGAGGATCGCGGTTCAAAGCCAGCCCAGGCAGAAGAGACCGTGAGACTCCTATCTCCAAGAAACCACCAGAAAACCGGAAGTGGCGCTGTAGCTCAAGTGGTAGAGCCATCGCCTTAAGCTGAAGAGCTGAGGGACAGCGCCCAGGCCCAGAGTTCAAGCCCCACGACCGACAAAAAAAAAATAAGAACAGAAAAGGAGATCAACAATAGCCACCTTAGGATGGTTTGAGTATGGGATGAGTTAGTGTAAGTTAAAATACTATAAACTCACCTGGCCCAAGTAGTCTAACTGTCATTATACTGCCCACCTCCCCATGCAGTTTCATTGTAGTTTGGCTACTTGTAGCAAAAAAAAAATTAAATGGAAAATTCCAGCAATTCATAACTTAATTTTCATGCATTGTATTACAATCAACTGACCATCCCATGAGAGCCTTTATGCAGCACTTCCTACCCATTAGTCTCTTGATAGCCATACATATATATATGGTACATATATGTGTGTGTGTACCATACAAATATATACACATATATATGGTATGATAGCCATACATAAATATATATGTATGTATGGTACAATATTATCTGCAGTATTAGGCATCCCCTGGGGTCCACATATCCTCAAACTAATAGCAGAAGATGGTGGTAAGCCCTAGGTGTGGAATTAGACCTGGGTTGACTTTAAGGGCTTTTGTGAAGTGCTCCACTATAACTCAGCCCTTCACTGCAGTCCAAGCCTCAAGCCATTCACTTGGCAGCCACCAGATGGCAGGCTTGCCTTTCCAACTGGACCAGGGGAGGACTCCATTAAGCCCTCATATGCAAGGAACGAGAGATGATCTCCTTTGTGGGGAAATTGCAGACCTAGGAGGACAGCAGTCTGCCCAAGGTCACATAACAAGCTTAGCTAGGCCTCTACTGGAGCCCTGAGCTGGACAGCCCAGGCCTGTACTATTCCTCAGCCCTTCTCTGCAGTTATCTAAGTCGTTATTTCCTTGACAAATCCTTTGGGGAAAGAGATCTGGTGCACAGGAGAACATGTTGCATGAGGTGGCCCCTTTTCTAAGACAGAGGCAATTCTAACGCTAGCATGGCCGTAGATGGGAGTCGCCTCTGTAACCTCTGCATGGCCTTCAACTTATTTGACCTCCTGAGAAATCTCCAAGCTAGCATGCGATCAAAACCCCTTAGGAAGTCTCTTAGAGATGACCAGGTAGAACACTGAGATGAAACTCAGTGTTTCTTCGGGCCTGTTAGATAGCATCTACCATTGAGCTACATACCAGCCCTTTTTTCTGGCCTCCTGATTTAAAAGCTTAGTTTGTGTATTTCAAGCCCTTGTTTTTCTCACCAACTCACTTAAGGGTGGCAGTTTTCCATTTAGTACCACTTTGCTTTTCACAGGCTTTGGAGAAAACCTGTTACTGTGATTTTTATCCGCCTAGGCTCAAAGCCCAGTTCACAGTAAAGACCCAGTGTCCACATAAGCACAGCTACCCAGAGTCAAATCAGACCTGATGCCCCCCAGAGATGATACCTTAGCTGAAGACAGGAGGAGGAGGAAACTAGGCACAGATGGGAGAATATTCCAGGCAGTGGAAACTGTGTAAAGGTCCTGGAGCTATGGCCAGAGTAAGGTAGCTCAGGTGAGGTTAGAGAAGGTGTCATGTCTCATGGGGCCTTCAGATTACTGGTAGCACTGGGGACTATGGAGGATTGAACAATGGAGTAAGAATTACCTTTTAGTTGCTATAGACAAAGAATGGCTTGACTCTGGCATGCCTGAGCTTCCATCCTCACTTCGGCATTTGGACCACCGAGGCTAGGATGGCTCCTCCCTCTCAGCACATCAGTCTTTCTCTATAAAAACAAAGCAGCCATGGGGGAAAAGCCAAGGTGGTGGGTCCAGCTCCCAGACTGTACCAGCAGGGTGTCATTGTGCCACATAGGCTCTGAGTATACAGATGTCCTTTCCTCTGAGTCCAGCTTTTCCAGGAATCTCAGCACAGACTTAGGGGTACCTAGGTGTGAATCCCAGTGGAGCCAGTGACCATTTGATCACCATAACACAGGCCATAACAAGTGCTGCGTGTATACTGGCTGTGTCCAGATGGTCGCCTTCGTCACAGCAACTTCTCCAGCACACTCGGCCCAGTCAAGACTCTCAGGACCCTGAAGCTCTTCACCCTTGGGCTTCTTTCTAGTCGGTCATTCCCTGCCCAGCCTGACAGGAGCTCTGAGTTGGGGCCCAGCTACTGGCCGGAGCTAGGCCGGAGCTGCCCTTGAGTTAGGCCTAAGCAGGTGCCCTGCCAGCAACACTCACCAGCCTATGCCCTCTCACAGCCTGCCCTCCTGTACCTGGTCCCTGCCTGCATCGGCTTTCCCATCCTGGTGGCGCTGGCCAAGGGAGAAGTGACAGAGATGTTCAGGTAAGCACAGCAGGGGACAGAGGTTCACATGGGGTCCTGTGCACCTGTGGGCAGCTGTGGCGCCTGCCAGAAGTGTTTATCTCCAGCGAACATTGTTCCCACCACCTGTTCCACTCCTCACTCTTTCTGCCAGCACCTGGGTGCCTGGCCTGTGGCCACCAAGGGAACCTCTCCCTGGGCCAGGAGCCAGGATGGAGCCAGGCCTGGGGCTCTCTAAGCAGCCCCCACACCACATGCCATCAAGGTCATGAGAAGGGAACAGGTTGCCCACTATCCTTAGCTCTGCCACCAGATGACTTGACATGTGACCTTCTCCTGCACAGTCCGTGTTCACACAGGAGTAGAACAGGACATGGTGGAAAGTGCCCTGAACGTGAGAGGTCATGTGGGTCTCTAGCCGTAACCCACTGGCATTCTGTCCAGCTCTGTCGCCCCTCTGTCATAACACCTCAGCCACGCCTTGTGCGCAGCTCCACCCCTACCCCAAGGCCTTCGTGATTCTAGCAGGTGTCTGCTCCCTGGCACAACCAACCCCACTTGCCAGGGACCTAGAAATAGCTGCCAGTTGCTACTAAAGCTGCCCACTCCGTTTATCTGGCCTCCAAGTTGCCCCTCAAGTGCCTGCCAGGGCCTCCTGCACACCTGGCTGCCTCAAGGGCTGCCTGTGACTCACCCCTCCCCCGTACCTGCCTTTGCCCTCCTTGCACTGCCTAGAATCCCCAGTCCCCAGCCTCTCTGCCCCTATCTCCCCGCCTGCCAAAGCCTTGGCATCTGCAGCGAGTGGGGTAGGGACATGAACTGGAGGACAACTCTGGGAAACGGGCAGGGTACTTGACCCCTGAGTTTAGCACCTCTTTGGGGCATATCCAGCCTCAGGTCGCCTCGCCTCATCCCCTTGGGGTGACTTCCCTAGTCCAGCCCACTGTGTCCTTTGAGCAACCCAGGCAGGACAGAAAGTGCCCCTTCACCCACTTGGGGCTTGCTTTCCCTGGATTCTATGACATGCATTCACCACCACCACTCCTCCAGTTCTTAGGGAAAGGTGAGGAAGTAGCAGTCTCTCTCTCTCTCTCTTTAGTCTCTCATTCTCCACCTGACCTCTGCTTTACTTTTCTCTTGCTGCTACTCTTCTTTTTGAAATTCAGTCAGCCACTCATACCCCATGCTGGGGATCGAACCCAGGACCTCATGAACGCTAGGAAGTGATCTACTACTGAGCTGCATCTTCGGCCCTCATATTATTCTTGAATGGGTAACGCATTCCCCTGGTCAGAATTTCACCATCTCCTAGCTATGGAAAGCACATGCTCTTATGCCACAGAGACTCCTGTGCACTGAAGTGTAGCTGTGTGTGCACTGATGGTGGCACTCTCCACTGGTCTGCATCTGATGTTTTGGGTGGGGATTGAGGCTGGGGCCTGACACTTGCTGGGCACATGCTCTGCCTCTGGGTAAGCATTCCAGCCTTTGGATTTTCACAGAACAGTTAAAGAACTTCAGAGAGATTTCCACGGCAACGCGTTGTTCTTTTGCACAGGTGCATAGTGCACCTTTTTCTGCAGGTGATGCTGGCTTTCTACTAGTCTGGAAGTGCAGAGCCAGATAACAAAGCACAATGCTTGTGCTTTCTGCTCCTCCACTCTTTGTCTTCCTCTCTCCATCTCTGTTCTGTCTCTGTCTCTGTCTTTCACACAGCTACGAGTCCTCGGCGGAAATCCTGCCTCATACCCCGAGGCTCACCCACTTCCCCACAGTCTCGGGCTCCCCTGCCAGCCTGGCCAACTCCATGCAGCAGAAGCTAGCTGGCCCTCGTCGCCGGCGCCCGCAGAATCACAGCACCATGTAATGCCCAGCGGGTGCCCACCTGCCCACTCCCTCACTGCCTGGGGCCCAAGGTAGGGCAGTCGCTCCAGCTCCAGTGGAAGGGCTGAGGGCAGCGGCAGGAGGCAGCTCCTCGGCATTCTGCGCCAGGCCTGTGCGGAGCAGGCAGGCTGCGCCTTGGCGTGCTCCTGGTGACATGTGGCTCACTTGAGAGTGGGTTCAGACCTGAGTGGCTGTCGCACGTGCTGGGTAGTGTCTGTGCAAGTGGGCGCACTCAGGTTGATCTCGTGAGGAAATGTGTGTTGTGCTTGGCATGAATACAGTTGCTCAATAAATGAAGCCCATGGTAAGAGCTCACCCAGACTGCCTTCCAGGAGGGCAGCACCAGACCCCTCTCCTGAAGCCTCATCCTAGCTGCCCTTCATTCCACTGTCCAGCAGAAGGTTCAAGAAGCTTAAAGTTTCTGGGTGCTGCTAGCTCACAGCTGTAATCCTAGCTACTCAGGAAGTCTGAGGATCATGGTTCAAAGCCTGCCCAGACAGAAAAGTCCCTAAGACTCCTATCTCCAGCAAACTTACTCAGAAAAAAACAGGAAGTGGCCCTGTTGCTCAAGTGGCAGAGTTCTATCCTTGAGCACAGAGAGGCTCAGGGACAGTGCCCAGGCCCTGAGTTCAAGCCCCAGGACCAGCAAAAAAAAAAATTTAAAAAGCAGCAGCTTAAAGTTGATCCACACATGCCCAAGTCTAGCCTCTCCCATTTGCTGATGCCTGTTGGCAGCCCAGGCACAGAGAACACAGAGCGGCCTCCTACAGGGACACAGTCTGGCTAAGGCCAGGTGCTAGCAGATGCTGGGCAGTGATTACACACTGACCCTCATGTGCCCAAAAGACTGTGGAGGGAGGCCCTACCTCTAACTGTGTGTTTATTATTTTCTGGTCAGTTATGAGGAGTCAAACCCTAAGGATCCAGCAGCTGTGACAGAATCCAAAGAGGGAACGGAGGCGTCAGCGTCAAAGAGGCTGGAGAAGAAGGAGAAATGAAGCGGCTGGCGACTGACCCCCTGAGGGCCAGACCAGACAGGTCGGGGACAGATTGACAAGTGACTTGGGCAAAGGACATCCTCAGGAGGTGAAGGCAGCTCCAGGACGGGTGGGCAACAGAATCCCTCCAGCCCAGCCCCATCCCATGGCCTGCTTCCCTTTCCCGTGTGTGTATGTGAGTGTGTGTCTGTGTGTGTGTCCTTCCTCTGCTTCTCCCCACCCCTGCAGGCAAAGGAAGCCCCCAGCAACCTCCCTCCCCAGGAGCCAAGTCGGAACTGGGTGTGATTTTTAGATTTTTGTATTGTGAACTGTCTTTGCCTCACATTAAAAACTCATCCCATGGCCAGGTGGGTTGCTGTGTTCTGTAAGCACCCCCAGCATCTAGTTCTAGGTTCATTAGGTCTCACCTGCCACCCGAAAACTTCTCCAAAAGCCCCCTTCTGGATACCCACCCCAATGCTGGGCTAGCTGGCCAACTCAGCAGACACCCCAAGGATGACTTTGGGCAGCAGAGGGGGTTCATAAACCCTCCCCAGCCATCGTTTTCCTCACCTCCTTCCTCCTGACACTTGCTGGCAGGTGCTCTGTGTGCGCCACTCACCTTGGTAAGAGGTGAGGTGACTGCCACAGGGTCAGCGTGGCCAAGAGAACCAGCAGCTAAAGCTGCCAGCTTCCCAGCTCCCATGTGGCTTCAGCTAGAGCAGTCCTGAACTCCAGGCTGCCCTAGGAGCATTTCTCTGGGATTCATCCCAAAATGACTTAGGAAGCCAGCCACAGCACAAAGGCTAGACCCTTAAAGGGGCTAGAGTGAGGAGGGACTGGATCAATGACTTGAAGTAGCCAACTAGGCCCAGGAGGGGGAGACTGCAGGGTTCGTTTCCCTCAGCCCTGGCCTTCAAGAGAGCTCTCAGTAGACAAAGCAATGAGTAGGGACAACCCTCATCCACCTGCTAGAGTAGATTGATGGGGGAAGACTAAGATAAAAGATGATGGCTATTGGCCTGAGAGCGAGGCTTCCAGCGTCCAGCCTAGGCCTCTCTTTCACCTGCATTTCAAGTTCAGACACTGAAAATAACTAGCTTGAAGGTAGTTTGGAGGTGGCCAAAGGACCAGAGCATGCAGAGTGAGGGTGTGGGGATGGAGATCACCTGGGTAGCAGTCAGGACTTGCCCTTCCCCTGTGCAGACTATGGTTGGCTGTTGCTGTGCAGATAAGGGAATTGAAGAAGCCTTTCAAACCACTGGCAATCAGAACACAATTCCAAGTTCCTAAGGATTAGGCAGCTGCCCTCAAGACCCTTGAGACCAAGCCACTGAATGGTGTGCTCTGAGCCAGCCACCCAGCTTTTCTGATCCTATGACTTTCTAGTAAGAAAAGGGAAGAATCTCTATGGCATTTCCCAACCAGGGGAACCCTTTTAGGGGCTTCTCTGATCCCTGTATACTGCAGCTGCCTCCAGGGGGAGGCCCTGTGGTCCTGGAACAAAGCCCCTCTGAGGGCGGCAGATGGGGCAGGCAGCCCAGGCACACAGCGCAGTTGGCTCTGCAGCCCAAGGTCCACAAAGGGCTCATTGAGTCACCGCCAGCCCCCAGCGGAGGCTGAGGTGGCAGTGGCGCCAGGCGCCTGCCACCTAATGACCATCCTGGCCCAGCCAGATGTTCCACAGACCTCGGCAATGCCGACCAGGGCCCGCCCGGCCAGCCGGCCGCAGAGGCCACTCCAATTCCAATTAAGCAGCTTCAGCTGAGCAAACAGCGGGCAGCAAGGCCCAGCCTGGGCGGTAGGCCCAGCCTGCAGAGCCTCAGAGTCTAGACTCCAGATGTGAGCCACCACGGCCTGAGTCCTATGGAAAAATGGCACCAGGCCGGGCACAGATTGGGCCTGCACGCTGAGGCAGAGAGGAGGGGTGGGTGGTTGGGCAGGGCCTTGGGTGGGCCTGGTGCCAGCCTCACCCAGGGGTAGGAGTGGTTTCTTGAGAAGCTACTCTAAAACCCCAGAATTGCCCTTGATTTGTTGTGTCCCTCTCTGTACTTCAGTCTCCCCTAATTGCAGTAGATGGAGAGGACTCCAAGGGGGAAAATTCCTATCGAGAGCCGCAGCTCATATCGCGCACTTAATATGTGACTAGCGCTGTGCTAATATTTCAGAAATGTTATCTACCATTATTGCACAGCAAAGGAAACAGGCCCGCAGTAGTGCGTCCCATGCTACATTTGAACCAGAGGCCTTGCCCCAGGATTCTGGCCTCCTGGTTCCCTTCCTTGTGAACAGAGTTGGAGGAGTGGGGCTGGAAGAATAGCAACCTCACCCTGCTCCTGCGGGGGGGGGGGGGGGACCCCCTCCACGATGACTGACGACCACCACGGAGGTGAGCACCTCCCCCCACAGCCCAGCTTTTTGGGGGGCCGGGGAGGGAGCTCTGACCTCTACATGGGCTTCAGAACCATCCAAGGGTCACATGGCTGGGGAAGCAGGTCAGAGGGTATGACCTGGCTGGCACCCCAGAGATGCCTCCAACCCCACCATCCTGGCTAGGGCCCTGCAGCAAGGCGAGAGCCCCTGCTAGCATTGCATTATCAGGGAAACCGAGTCAAACAAAACCAAAATGGGGGGGGGGGGGGCTGAGGAGAATGGGGCTTGGGCCTCTTCTCCCCGCACCGGCCCGCAGTGAGCCCTGGTCCCCCGAGGCCTGCTGCCGGCTGAGGCTAGGGCGCGGGAGGAGGCCGCATCCTGCCGGGTGCGTCAGGAAGGGTCGAGCCAGCAAGCGGGAAGGAAAGCCCCACCTCCCGCCCCCGCCGCGGCCACACCTGGGCTCCGCAGGCGGCAGGGGGCCGGCCGGCGCCTGGCTCCAGCGAGTCTGGGCCGCCTCCCCGCGCGCCCAGTGGGGGCGGCCAGCTGGGCCGGCGGCCGGAGCGGCCCGGCCCGCAGGAAGCCAGCTCCGGGCGGGTTGTGGGCGTGGCCTGCTGGCTCCGCCCGCGGAGGGCGGCGCCAGGCTGCCCCGTCCCGGACCCCTGGCACCCTCGTGTTCCCAGGGCAAGGCACTTCCCTAATCGGTGCCTGTTTCTCTACCTGTGCCTTCGGGCTGCTTATCTTAGCTCGCTCTCTTTTTCTTTTGTTTTTGTTTTTTGAGACAGTTTCTCCCTATGTAGTCCAGGCTGGTCTCAAATTCCTGGTCTCCTGCTTCCCCCTCATTGTCACCCCTTATCACCATTTCCTCCCCTTCTATACTTTGATATTCTATATTACTTGGAAAATACCGAACAATTGGACTCCTTCAACCATGAGCTATCTGCACTGGATGCAAACTCTGGCTGCCTAAGCCTATTTTCCTCTCCATGGTTGCAGTCTCTGTGTGTAACCCAGTTTCTGTCAAATGAAAAACTGAAGGTCTGGCCCGGTCCTAACATCTGGCACGTACTGGGCCTTCTTAAGTGAACACACATTACCTTAGGACAGTGCAAGCTAACCTCTCTCACTTCTTCTGGGAGAAGCCCTTCTACTCAGGCCTGCTGGAGGAAGAGAAGCTGGAGAGATGAGGTCTAGAAGGGGAGCAGTTTCTACAAGGCCAGGCCAAGGAGATTATCATCACTGCCCTGAAGGCAACTGGGGGGCGAGGAAGTGACATCATCCCTTGTGTGCATTAGAAATGCAGCCTGGAAGCCTGGGACTGAGCACCAGATGATGACATTCTGTGTGATGAAGACAGGTACGCTGGGGAAGGATGCATGAGGACTCTGAGCATTCCACAGGGTAAACCCAAGTCATCCAGACATACCTTGGCAGCAAGGCAGGGTAATAAACTCACTTGTCCTGACTTCACTTACCATTTCTTCTATGGGAAATGTTCAACTTTTTTTTTTTTTAATTTTTTTAAATTTTTGTCGGTTGTGGGGCTTGAACTCTGGGCCTGGGCGCTGCCCCTCAGCCCTTCAGCATAGACTAGAGCTCTACTACTTGAGCGACAGTGACACTTCTGGCTTTTTCTGTTTATGTGGTACTGAGGAATTGAACCCAGGGTCTCATACATGCGAGGCAAGCACTCTACCACTGAGCCACCTTCCCAGCCCATGTTCAACTCTTACACTTAAAAATATGCTAAGCAGGGCTGGGAATGTAGCTTAGTGATAGAGTGCTTGCCTAGCATGCATGAAGTCCCAGGTTTGATTCCTCAGTACCACATACGCAGAAAAAGCTGGAAGTGGCGCTGTGGCTCAAGTGATAGCTTGCCTTGAGCACAGAGAGGATCAAGGACAGTGCCCAGGCCTTTAGTTCAAGCCCCAGGATTGGCAAGAATCAAAACAAACAAAAAAAAAGTACCCTAAGCAAGCCAGGTGCCAGTGTTGCACACTTATAATCCTAGCTATTCAGGAAGCTGAGATCTGAGGATCACTGTTCAAAGCCAGCCCAGACAGGAAAGTCCCATAAGACTCTTATATCCACTTAACCACCAGAAAACTGGAAAGGGGAGCTCTGGCTCAAAGTAATAGAGTACTGCTCAAGCAAAAGAGCTCAGGGACAGTGTCCAGGCCCTGAATTTTTTTTCTTTTTTTTCTTTTTTTAAAGCCCTAAGGTGGGGCTGGGAAGGAGGCTCAGTGGTAGAGCTCTAGCCTTGCATACATGAGGCCCTGGGTTTGATTTCTCAGCACCACATAAGCAAAAAGAAAAAAGCCGGAAGTGACGCTGTGGCTCAAGTGGTAGAGCACTATCCTTGAGCTGAAGAGCTGAGGGAAAGCACCCAGGCCCAGAGTTTAGCCCCACCAACACAAAACACACACACACATACACACACACTTTTGTGTGTGTATGTGTGTGTGCGCGCATGCCAGTCCTGGGGCTTGAACTCAGCTTCAGCACTGTCCCTGAGCTTCTTTTGCTCAAGACTAGCATTTGAGCCACAGCACCACTGCTGGCTTTTTCTGAGTAGTTTATTGGAGATAAGAGTCTCCTGGTAGCCGGGTACCAGTGGCTCACGCCTGTAATCCTAGCTACTCAGGATGCTGAGATCTGATGGTTGCAGTTCAAAGCCAGCCCAAGCAGGAACATCCATGGTTTGTTTGTTTGTTTGTTTGTTGTCGGCCATGAGGCTTGAACTCTGGGCCTGGGTGCTGTCCCTGCACTCCTCAGCTCAAAGCTAGCACTCTGCTGCTTGAACCACAGCACCACTTTGGGTTTTCTAGTGGTTTATTGGAGGTAAGAGTCTCAAGGCCTTTCCTGCCTGTACTGGCTTTGTACTGTGGTCCTCATATCTCAGCCTTCTGAGTAGCTAGGATTACATGTGTGGGCCACCACCAGCATCTGGCTCCTTGAGAATCTCCAATTAACCACTAGAAAACTGGAAGTGGCA